GTGAGTGAGTGAGTGAGTAATTACTGTAGTGTGTCCTTGAAATGAAATTTAACTGATTTCTTTTATTTTTTAATTACTCTAATTATGTGTTGGTTCTGGTTTAATTCTAAATAGTCTTAAAATTGAGCTTATGAACAAAAATCGTTTTTTTGTGTCATTGTTATGATCGTGGTTTTTGGTCGCTGAATCATGGAACAATACCTCATGAGAGGTTCTTCAAATCTGTCATGTTGAATTTTATTTCAATCATAGTGTAAATGGTTTTACACATGTTTTTCTTTAGTGTTACTCCCAGGTAGTTTCTTTTACATACGTGTAGAGTTTAAGTGCTTTGCATTAGTTTTTATGTAATAGCAATTAAACTCTAGATATTAGTGCTTCCTTTCATGGCTCTGAATTATGTTGGTAAATTTAAAACTATCTGAAATTGTGATACCATCACTGCTTTGACAGTTTTATGTATATCAGCATGGTACAAGCTTTTAAGAAGAAAGAGAACATTCCATCTCCAAGTTTTAAAACTCTGGTGGAGGATGGAGAATACACACATTCCCTCTTAAGATTCAGCTACTTAACACAGGATCCCAGAAGTCGTGATTAAAAAGCAGGAAGGCTCCTTGAATGATTGTACATATATGTGTAATTTTAACATGCTAGGTGCTACAAATATTCGTAAAATGAAATCTCTATCCTCGTTGATCAGTACACTACTTGTGATTTCCTAAAATTAATTACAGGCTTTTATACAAACTTATTAGCAGCAAAAAAACAGAACTGTGGTTAGGAATCCCTTCATAACCAGTCACTTAGAAGGCCAAAAAGGAGATCTGAAGATAGAAGTTTGTGACAATGTGAGGCAGATGGAAGTGGCTCAGGTATACAGGAACAATGGGGTTCTGATAAAAGTTATACTCTTTTGATCTGGAAAGTATTAATAGTTATGATACACAGAACAAATTTGGATATAATGTGTGTGTAGTGGTTACTACACAGATACGATTCAACCTGTTTTGAAAATGAGTTAAAACTTCTATTTTGCTTTATCTTTTCATGATCAAGATGAAGAGGGCATTAGAAATCATATAGGTTTGTGGCTGATCATTATGTAAGAAAAAGGAAAATCTTACACAGTTGGATTATTTAGCAAATCAAAATTACTAATCAAGCAAAAATCAAAACCATGCACAATGATTGTGTACTGCCACAGAAATAAAGGGTACAATTACTGTCAATATATTAGTTATGTGTACCATATCCTACAGCATGCAAACATAACGTGAACTCAGGCTTTTACAGTTGGCTTCATTTTGGAAAAATATCTTAGTCCATACCAAAGTCACATTTCAATGGTTCAGTACATTGCAAAAGAGAAAGCAGAGCTTACAAAGCAAGAAATTACAAAATCTGCAGCACTACTGAAAACACAACACAGCCCCTCTGTAAATGCACACCCAGTCTGGCAGCATTTCAGTGCAAGCAATGTTGAAATTTAATAAATTCGAAGAAAATGTTCTCATTTCATATTTTCATCACATGAAGTGGGTGAAATGAACATGCAATGTGGAGGTGAAATCTCCCTTCCAAATGCTTATATCTGAAGCTACTGAACCGATTTTCACCAAATTTTGTATCACGTCTATAGTTAAAAGGTATCTGGTGATTCTGATTTTAGTCTTATATCTTCATCTTTTACTAAAGGAAGGCAACAAAGAACAAACAATTGGTATATGACAAAACACAGAATGCATTAGACTGATGTTCATATTAGTTTGTAACAATCCGAATAAACTGCACTTTATGTGAAGCTTAAATTAAAATTTACATAACTTCTCAAAAATGGATCATAATTGGCACACACTCTAAAAAACAATTTCACTATGATTTATAACGTTTATTTTAGGTGTTCTTTGAAAATGAAGTGTGCTCAACATATAAGTACCACTTTCCATTTTTTATAAAAAGAGAATAGAGAAATAAGATCCCGTTTTCAAGGACAATGAAACTTCAAATTCAAGAAAGATAAGAGTGCAGCAAGAAATATAAATACCGTGCAATTGCTTTCTAATATCTGTTGCAACATATGGTTATTTTCTTCCATAATATTTGATGGATGTAAAAATATTTTATTAATCGAACCAGGGCCACCGAAGTGGGAAGCCAGTGACTAACCACTTGAGCTATGGCACGGCCTAACAACGAATACATCTGTATAACTCATCTGCCTCAAAACTCAATAGAAAATAATCCAATTACATATACATAATTTTGAAGAATTATCAACAAAATTACATATCAGGAATAACAGAGCCAGCACTTTTACAAAGAATAGACTGCCTGGAGACAAAGTGAAGGTTGAAACAACTGAGAATTTTGCTCTCTTTCTTAGATGTTCTATTTGGTTATCATAAAAAACTGCAGTTCTCTTCCAACTATGGTAGCACACAAACACAACAAAATGCAAAAAGCAGCACAAACAAAAAACAAAAACACAATAAACATGCATTACTTCTGCATATACTATGCTTACCATTATACAACTGAAACATACCAGTAAACAGAAACAATCTTTTCTTTCCTTTCTTTACACTTCAGTAATGACCCTTCATGTTGTGTTGTGCAATGCTGTAAATCTTTCACAACTGTCACACACAATTTGTTACACAGCTCTTGCTGCTATTAGCTTTTACTCTACATGCTAATTTAAGAACATTTTAAGGTTGATGGCTAAAATCACATCAACTGTAATGTTACAAAGCAGTAAAAAAAATATGCAGCAATCATGCAGAGATGGTAGACAAGTACTTTCTTAATCTTCTGGTTTTACTGAGAGAAGCAAAAAATTCTTATTGCCAAAACTGATATTCCTTAGTCACATAAAATAATCAATGATTATCCATCTATAAAAAGTCCTTTTAACAATTAACAGTGGGCAAGTAAAATTTTAACTAGAAACAAGAACTTTACTGGAAATGCAATGCCCACAAATATAGCAATACATTACCATAAACTTGGAAATGTTTGTAGATACTGATAAAATAGTTTAAGAGAAGAATAGCAAATAAAATAATGTGTGGATTACCTAACATTTTACACTACTGCGGAACAGACATCTCAAATATTAATGTACGTGTGAAAATATCTAGTAGTTTTGTGAATCTACAGCTTTGCACATTTCCTCTTTAACACATTTTGCTACCTCAAGAAATTTAATAAACTAACAGATGCACTTTTAACTGTACAGCACACATAAACCTTCCATCCACCAACATGATGTAAAGACAGGAGTATTTCTCGAACATTGTCCATTGATGGGAATAGATACTGTGCCTATATTTTGGAAACTGGCTATGTCTTTGCTGTCAGATAAAAAAAATGAGGGAGAGAACGTCTATCTAGTCAGGCTGATTAAGGTCAGTCCACATTTACTCAGCTTGTATGACACAAAACATACAATTAGAACAGAAAAAGAAATTTCTTGTTTCTCTAGCTTTATCTGAGAAAACAGTATTAATATTATATTTAAGTTACAATCATAACAGGTAACCAATCACAAGCATTATCTGGTTATATTTTTGTATTTAATAACTTATAAAGACAAGTACAAACTGCTAAGCATCAATGACAATTTCAGTAAGCAAGGAAGTAGGATGTCCACAGGGAAGCTGCTTACAATAAGACAAATGTACATCTTTGCATGAACATGGTAGCAATAACTTGTTACTGAAGCAGATAGACTGGGAAGTACGATAAGAACACAGGTGTGCTTGGTTGACGTAAAACCTCACACCTGAATAAAGTAAAGGATACTCATGTGAAATAATGCATTCTACAATCCTAACATCCTCTTCATGCAAAAATATACTTCCATTTATTTATTTATTTATTTGCTGTCAATTATCATTAAATTATTTGCATCCATGCAAAGATTGAGAATCTTTTGTCCAAGAATGAATGCAGAAATTTAAAAACTACTGCACTAGGACAGCTGGAAATTAAATGAAGGAGAGCATAGCATATTAACGCAGGCAACACAGATTAACACCTTCAATGCCTAAAATGTATGCAGCAATATACAAAAAATATAGATCCTGTTAAATTTAATGTATACAATTTATCATGTAATTTATCAGTCACTGTGAAAGTAAATGTTAGAAGAGAATTATAGCAAAACCTCATACAATTAACTTCCACAAATTTAGTCACAAACTGGAAGGGGAGAGACCACTCGAGAGACTTAGAGGTAGAGGGGGGATAATACTAAAATGCACATGAAAAAATAGGCTGTGAAGGTATAAGCTGGTTTCAATTTGTTCAGGACTGGATACATTGACACATTCTTAAACGTTAAGGTAAGGTAATTCTTGAATAGCTGAGTGACTATTATCTTCTTAAGGACTCTGGGCCATAGAGTTCATTAGGTCATTGGCTAATTGGTTAGGTAATGTGTGGGGTTAGGCTCAAAAAGAAAACATTACCCTTCATTCTTACAGTGACTTCATTTTCATGTTTGCCTTTGATCTCACTTTCTTGTTACCCTCAATAAAAATTCCCTGGAACTTAAAAATGAATGTTAGAATTTGAACACATTATTAAAAGTCTGCTACTACAGTAAAATAACACATGATCTGAGAGTTCTTTTGACATTAGCTGAAATGTACAAATATGACACAGGTTATATCAAACAAATCTACACGCACATTTGTAATTAAATTGTTCAATTATGCATATAATTTTGCACTCATACTATCAAAGCCAACTGTATAGTTCAATTAAATAACAATGTTGTATTTGGTCCATGCAAAAGCTTTTATAAGATTAAAGGCTAGGAGACAGTAACTTCATGTTTTTTTTCAGATAATCACATTAGAGTCTACACGAGAAAATGAGTATAAAGAATTATACAAAATGAGGTTGTGCTCTAATAAAATAAACACTTGATTCCTTTATTTTACATGTACATAACATATCCTGTCCTCTGTTGATTAAATGAAGAGACCTTGTCTTTTCTTCACCTGGATTTGAATTTTATTATCTTAAAAAATATGAACAAACGAAAAAAAAAAGCTTCTGGAATCAAGTTTTGCAGTTAATTTAATTATAATAACTCTGACACACTTTATTCACATGCACCTTGAAATTACTTTTGAATCCAAAGAGAATTCTTTACTCGGATTCCTTAACAGACTATTAAGAGTTAAAAAAAAACTCCAGTGTAAATTAATATTCCAAAATATGTAACAAAAGCCTTCAGAAGAATAATGAATAATTTCAGCATCAGATTTCAGTTTCAACAGAAATAATATTAATGTTCACTTCACTTACCATGGGTATGGACACGCATAGAGCTGGCTGTGATGTCAGTGGTTACTGTAAAGTATGGCAGCCACAAATCCTCAATGTGTGTATCTCCAAATGTGCTGAAGATAGTTTGGTTGAAATCCCTTCCAGAGAACATAGATGTGACAGGATAGGTCAGGTCTAACAGTTGGCGCCACCACTGAGTTAATTTCTATGACACACATAAAGAATAGTACAATATTAAGGAGTTACATAGATTAAAAATACATATCACTCAGGGGCAACAGAAACACTATTAAAAACATAAAGAATATGTTGAACTTCATGTTGCATCTTCCACATTAATTTCATGTTCAATATTTAAAAGACAGTAGTAAAATTAACCTTTCAGCATAAGAATCTGTCAATTCATTCTCAAAGTCATATTTCATCAATGTCACTTCCCCTAACACTTTCAATAAAACTGAATCACATGTAACAAATTTATCTTTCAATTTATCTAGAATGTGTAAACTTCAGATATTCTTTTCAAAATTCACCAATGTACTGTATATGGCAAAATTGTGTGAAAATTCTATATATTGTGACGAGTTACCTTACGTCCATCACCGCGACAACTGCTACAATCGGAACGGACACTTCCATGACAACGAATACATGGAAATTGTGGAACTCCCACAATGACAAATCGTAGCAACGAATTGTCGTTGAGTAACAACGGACGAGACGAGACACGTTACCAGGGTAATCTATAAAGAGCATTCCTGAAGCAACGGATTTCTGAACAGCGTTAACGGAACCGTGAGAAATGGTGTCCGGTATCCAGTCCGCATAACCCCTATATAAGCAGAGCTTATGACACGTACAGAGCATTGAGGACTGAGTAATAGAATATTGAGTATTAGGGTATTGGGCCAGAAATCAAGTGATAGTGCAAGCGATACTAATTGTAAGGTGTGTAAGAGTGAGGTCCAATAAAGATCCGCTAAATCCGAGATCCACGTGAAGTTATTTGTCGCATGACATACCCAACACATGACAATATATTTGGCCACCATTAATTTGAATTAACATCACAACAGCAGTCTCCTTTTTTCTTGACATGGTCAACCTCGAGTAAATCTATTCAATCTTTCATCTATTCTTTCATATATACATGTAATATAAAGTGATCATATGTACCTATACCTAGTTCACATGCTAAATAATTCTACTGGAATTACTTATTATAATACAGGGTACTTGTTACAGTGTCCTGGTCTGATAATTACAGGTATGAGGATTTATGACACAAGTGCCCTTTTTTACACATTGCACAAGTCTGTTAAAGTCAGATTAAGTCTGACATGTATGTTCTATGCAGTTTTTCATAAACATATTTAATTTCTAATTTTGAAGTTGTTCTGTCGGATTCTTACAGTCCTCTTGTCACCACTCCCATGCTGTAGTATTCAGCAGAATTAAGTTTCATTATTCGTGAGATCTGGGGTTATCATGGCAGTGACTATCAATAGTACTATGTCATAGTATTTAATACCATCTAGTCTGGTAGAAATGTACCAGTGTTTCAAAGGAACATGCTACCCCAATCTTAAAGTTTGAGGAGTAAGAAGAGAAAGCAACAAGGAACCAGAGTGCTTTCTGCTTGCTTGGCTTATTTTTCAACCTTGAAAACTTAGGCAGCAAATTCCCCTAAAAGTAGCCAATTTCTACCAAAACACAGGGCACAGCATTCCAGGTAAATACTCTTCAAATTAGGTTATTTGTTCATGTACATTATTACATAAAAGAGAACACTGAGTCAGACTACATTTTTAAGACACCACATTTCAGTCTTCTGTATTTTTCAACTGACTGTGCTAACATGAAAGAAAATAGTTTATAAAGGTTTCTTCTGAAATCCTTTAGGGTTCTAATATTATATTATGGTTCACTGTCATCAATCAAGTAAAAATGGTATCCTTTTAAACAGTTCATGCAAAACAGAATGACATTATCAAGAGGTAAGTTAGAAGAACAAAGATATTCATGCAGCTGGGTGATGCAAAACTTGGCCAGACACTTTCCTTTAGTTGTCAAACACCATGTGCTGACACACTGTCATGGTGAAGGATCCAGAAATCTGACTATAAATTTTATCTCCCCTCCCAATTGCAGCTCTCAAATGATGAAGAACTTCCAGACACTTTGTCTTGTTCACACTATGACATTCAGAAAAAATCTGAATGAACAATTCTTCCCTCGTTAATAAAAGAAACTGTTACCATTTTCACTTTCAACTTTGCATATGCACCATTCTGTGTTGCTAAGCTAGGATATTTCCACTTATGACTCTAACTGCTGGTCTTCTGAACATACTGAAAAGTCCAAATTGCAACCAGTGATGATAGGCCTGATAATATTTTCATCATTTTCAACTCTGTCAACAAATTTCCATCCATGTTCAACTCTCAAAATGTTCACACTACTTTCACACAAAATCATCTTAAAGGGTAATAATCCATTAAAATTTGTTGCATAAACTACTTTGTCACGTTTGGCATTCTTCCACTAATTCCACATTCACTCTTTCGTCACTTTGAGCTGAATCTTTCTCTGTGACAAGACTCTGACTGGTTACTTAACATTCTAACCACCTACACCACTAAACATCATTCATGTAATCTCTTAACCTTTGCTTCTCTTTAAAAGCTTGTGTTCCAAACTTAATTTTATGGGAATATATATTCATACCACAAAATTAAATTTTTATATATATTTCACAAAACCAAATAATTAATATAAATTATGGAATTAGGAAGATATGAATTGTACCAATATAAATAAAGGTAAGACATAAATTACTTTAGTTTTCTTCAAATTAAAGAACAGTATATGACATGGAAGTGGCAATAAAATGAACAAACCTTTGACCATTCACGTGCTTTCTGTGTCATAGTGGTGACGTTCTTCTCTGCACACCACAGTGCCCCCATGAAGGCTCCAATGCTAACACCACCCACCATATCAATTGGAATTCCAGCCTCCTGAATAAAAAAGTCAAATATTACCACACAAATCATCCTAATTTACAATATAGACAATATCTGTAACTGAAACTTGAGATTATTACAAATCTGCTAATATCTGAATCCAAATAATTTAAAAGCCTGCCACAGACAAAAATTCTGAGCCAGTTCGAGATTTATTTCCTTATTAGAGAAAGTGCCCATTCTTTGGCTGGCTTTTCTTAAATAAAATGTACTGAGATAATGATGGTTAACAGTGGTTATTATTATTATAACCATCTGGCTGTGCCATAGCCCAAGCAGTTAGTTGCTGGCTTCCCACTGCGGTGGCCCGGGTTCAATCCCGGGTCTGGTCAAGTGGGATTTGTGGTGGACAAAGTGGCACTGGGGCAGGTTTTCTCCAAGTACTTCGGTTTCCCCTGCCAATCTTCATTCCACCAATTGCTCCACAATCACCCTCACCTATCATCTGGGGCTGGTATAATAGGCCAGAAGTGGCCTCAGTACAGGGAACTTAGCCCCACCCCACTAGCATTTAAAAAAAATTATAAAAATCTTATCTGTTCCTACTGACCAAATAAAGAATGTTACCAGAATCTTAATAATACATATTCCTGTACACCAAAAATAAACAAATACAATAAAATAAAAAATTAAGTAATTGAAGAAAACTTTATTGAAATAATGATAAAGTTAATTTATTATGACCATCTTTTGAATATATACCATGTTCAGAGGGCAGGCTGTTTGAACATTGATTTTTACCGTTGGCAAATTCCCGCAAAAGCGCTGTGCCACTTGCCAAGAAAAATACTGCCACATTGCTGAAATTATTCTTTCAAATATAGTAATTAATACTGTACTCACCATCATAGAAGATGTCCAAAATGTCTGCCCTCTGCTGTGATGCATGTCTCAATTCTTTTAAACAGATATTGGGAAACTTTCTACAATTCAAGTTGCTGAGTGTTGTAAAGTGCTTCACGAATATTCTGTTTTAGAGTGTCCAGGTCATGTGGAATGTTAACATACACAACACTTTTGAGTTTTCTCCACAAATAAGAATCACAGGGGTTTAGATCTGGGGATGTAAAAGGCCACAAACCCTTGCTAATAATTCTACCATCCCAAATTAATTCCCCAAACACACCACGTAATGCTCGTGTAGTTTCATTAGGTGTGTGAAGTCACACCATCTTGCATAAAATAACCAAATCTTTCTTCAGCAGGTGACAAATTAACGAAAAATGGATTTTATTATTTCATTAATGTATCGTTGAGCTTCAAGAGTTCCTTCATAAAAAACTGGTCCAATGACAGGGTTTGAACTAATTGCACACCATATGCCTATCTTTTGATCGTATATGAAAAGCTGAATTAGGGCACGAAGATTTTCACTACTCCAATACCTGTTTGTTTTGTGAGTTAATATATCCCAAGAGATTAAAATTAGTCTGATCTGTGGAAAAAGTTAGCTTATGATTAACAAGTTCGTCATGCACATGATTTATACACCAATTACAAAACCTCATTCTTTTTTCAAAATCCACAAGTTTAATTTCAGGAACAACAGTAAGTTTGTATGGAAGAATATGCAACAGTTTAGTTGCTGTCCATGCACTGGCTGCAGAAACACAATTTTATTGTGCTAATTGCTGCAAAGGTCTTTGAGAAGAATTTTCTAATCGATGAACGGTGTCATCAAGTTTTTCCTCAGTTAAAACACGATTTATTTTTAACGGCTTTCTGTCAATTAAAATACTGTGGGTTTGAACTTTCTTCACTAATTTGGAAATTGTATCTCCAGATGGACATGTTGTGACAGGAAATTTACAGCAAAATTTTCTCCTACATGATTTGTATGAGTTTTTTTTTTTTCACATAACCATCACAAATGAAAACTCTTTGTTCTGAATTGTATCTCACATGAGCCATAAAGACAGAGAACAGAGCACTATAGAAAGAAGCTTCTGTAACACTTAGTGGTGTAACACTAACTGACTCATTGATCAGATGATTACTGAATGAATGACCTTCAGTTTGTCGGGAGCACCCGCAGTGTGTGTGTGCATAGACGTCGTACTGACAAGCCCCCTAGACGTCTGATAAGCCTGCACTTCCCACTGACAAATGTTCTATTCCCCATGTTACATAATTACATGGTGCTATATCATAAACGCACAACACAACAGACCCTCAATATAAAGCAGGTGTTGGGTGACAGCTTCAATACCAACACTATAAGCGAAATTCACATTTATCCAATTTTGGAATCCGTGTTATTATGCATACAGTATTCTTGCAGTTAGTAAAATGTGTGCCTGAAATTTATGGTACATCTCAAACCGTGATTAAGCATGTAAAATGGAATTATTGATCAAATTTTTCTGTTTTTATTAAATAATCCCAAGATTATAAAAACCAGAGACATAGAGCCTACTCATAGTGGACTTTGGACTTTACAAACTACAGCAATGAATGTTGCAATACAGTGTAACTAAAATATTTAATAAAAATATGAATGACGTAAAAAATATATCTTACTGGAGGACAAGATCAACAAATGCAAATGACAGCCTACTCTATATTAAACGGTCAGCAAGCCCAACAGAGCAGCGGACACAGATCACTTTTTTGACTTACCAAAAAGATACAGAGTAATGGAGATCATCATCACTAATTTAAATAATTTTACATACAAAGGGTTTAATTACTGCCTTATTCTCTTTTTCTGTCTTGGTCTTCTAGACAGTTATTTCCTACAAATTTCCACACCAAAAGAATTTTGAATTACATTAAAATAATTAAATTACAAAATAAAAACAAGTATCAAAGTTAAAGTAATTTACTCATTTGAATTATACAACACACAAGCTACCATATCACCATTCATCACTCTACAGGTAGTTTTAATGTAGATGGAAGCACTATATTGATATACGTGGTAGAGTCATTAAGTTCGTGGAATGTGGTTTTATCGCATCATATTACAAAGTATTCACATACACTTACACAGATCCACATCGGCCCTCAAAATAGTTGCCACTACGCAAGACTGCCAACATTGATATAGCGGCCGAAAACATTGCTGAAACATATTGGCACGAAATTCCCATATGGTGTCTCTTGTGGCAATGACCACCTCCTTGGACGACTGAAATCTACGACTATGTAGCTTTTTTTCAAGCAGTGAAAGAGAAAGAAATCGCACGGTGTGAGATCAGGTGAGTACGGAGGGTATGGCAAAACGGTGACCTGTTGCCTTGTCAGTTCCTCTTGGACAAGAACAGAGCGATGTGCAGGGGCGTTGTCGTGTAGCAACAGCCAATTCTTCCTATGCCAAATGTTTCGCTAGGGGATTTGCCTAGTTTTTGGCAGAACTTCATGTTTGCCTGTCGTTCAAACTGCCACATTTTTTATTTCTGCCACTTGAATTTAACTGCAGTTCACAATAGAGGTCGTAATTCTACTTACACTGTTTGCACAGAACTGCCTCTTGCTGTGACAAGAGATGAACTGACAGGGCATCATATCATGCCTCAACGTATCCGCTGTAGTGCACTGCAATGATGCTTTGCAGCAATTCCACGAACTTATTGACAGTGGTAGTATCAAACATAAGCAATATATGAAAGACTTTCTTGAGAAGCTGATGGTAACTCCACTGGTCACGAAATTTAATGTTTTGAGGCCCCGTGTAACATTTTGTAACTTCCAATCTTTCTATAATAAAGACTGTCAACCCCCTGCCCAATCTCCATTTTTGGTGATGATTCCTTGTTATCTGTCTGCAACTGCACATTCAATATACTCACAGCCATCTTTTGTAACTGGAAGCTATTTCCTTCATCCACAACATGAGGATGAAACATGCTGAGGTGGGGTAACAAGGGATCCTCTTAATTTGGACATAAGCAATGTAAAGTTGTACATTAGTTCTACCTGAATAGCCTTGATCATGCCAACATGTGCAGCTCCTCTTGCGCCTCCTCCACCCAAGACCAGCCCTACAGATGTGCCAGTCAGCCATCTTGCCAAACGTGAGAAATCTGTGTGGATGAGTGGTTCAGATGTGAGCACTTTCATGTACAACTCATTCTGCAGTTAAGGAAAATAAATAAAAATGTATATTAATATATTAATGAAAATAAGAGCAGCACATACAGAAACATCATTTTCAGACTCAGATTTGAGATTATTATGAAATGGGATGTGACACTGTGTAGTCTGGTTGGGCAAGAGTAGACAGATGGGACAAAAAGATAGTGTTCACTCAGAGCAATATTTCTCAGGTCTTTCTGCTCTTGCGAACAGTCTCTTCCATGGGCCACAGACTGTTTTCACTGTTCTTGTTGCTCCTATTGGATTATGCAGGGTCCCAATCCTGGCATTTTCTCTCCCTCTTTCCATGCTACACTTTTCCACGTTCAGCTCATTCTGATACAGTACAGGCAGAGGTAGCATTCCTCTGAAATATCTGTGACTTCTACCACACCATATGGCTTCACATCCCATAAGACAGCAGGCCTCAATTTTAGAAATGGGATAAAAAATAAAAATGATAAACAATTCATGTTCTAAAAATAAGGACTGACATGATGGTATAATTTTAACAGAATCTGGGAATACAGTTCTCTGTTACTAAAAACATACACAAGCATACAAATATACTTCCTGAATATTTGAAAAACCAGAAAGTACTTAAAAGTCACAAGATTATGCAAATGCATATAACTGAAGCATTTTCTAACAATAATATTTGTTGTATGTGATCACAGAAGATGGCACTTCACATGTCTTACACTAAAAAATTCCGCAGTGTTCATTCTGGGTTTAAAAAATTAAAAACTCTTTCTTGAGAATTGTGACCCTTATGACTTACTATTCTATACTGAGATCGCCTGATGAACATTCTCTTGCTGCACTGAATATGGTGATGTGTGGAAACCCAACTCCTGTTGTTTAGCCATGACACTGTGTTCTTGGGTCGATCAGCTCCTTCACGATGTAACAATACTAGCTCCTTATGAGTACGTATTGTTAAGCGTTCTACCTCCTTTTCAATCTGAAATAATGTGTAACTTTACTATGTACTTACTCAATTCAACTGCGGATTTTCCATATTTGTATGAACCTATTTTATTGTTATATAAGTGACATAAAGCACAATGAATGCTCTTGTGAAAATGGTAATGAACCTTTCGGTTCCAAGAAATGTTGGGAAATTTTTAAGTAACTGCACAACTGTCGGCTTCTCAAGAAGAGCTCACCTCCATGGAGTTAGTCAGTTAGACATTAAGCACAATACTCACACTGCTGCTCTGGATCAGACTCTTTCAGACAAAGACTGATAGAAAATAAAGTATGGTCAAGGAAGTGCTATATTAACATTATTCTAAACTAAAATAACATGCGCTAATTTCTAGGAAACACAAACAATGAATAAGAGAAGTCTCTTCACAAAGTCATATGTATTAGTCTTATGGGTGCCAATCACAGTGGCCGCATGGTCTAGGTCATGAACTGTCTTTGCCCACTCAAACACTGGAATCTGGATTCGAATCCCACTTGAGGTGTGGATATCTGTGTGTGTTTATTGTGTGTCTGTGTTATGTATGCAGGTAGTGGTCTTGCGATGGGCTGATCCCCATCCAAGGAGTCCTGTTGACTGTGTAAAAGATCAAGTAAGTGAAAAAACGGCCAAGTCCCAACAAAGGGCTGTAGAGCCATAGATAGATATACTCGTAGTCATATGGATGTGTAGCTGGAGATGTCTATAAGAATCCATTTACTCCATCAATTAACCAAATGTTACAATAAAATTATGTTTCTGATTAATTATAATGTAATATAACATTACCTTGCCAATACCAGTTCCCTTATCTGCCAGACCAACAATCAATATGCAATCAGCCTGACGAACGCACCGCTGAGTCCACGCTGTGAAGCTCATATCACACTGATAGAGAGCAATTTTGTGCTGATCTTCTTGTTGTGCAAGCCACGATGTGAGCCGGTATTCATTATTTGGGTCAAGAATTGATGATCCCAAGGATTTTCGTATGACATCTGATGTCAAACGTAGTGTGGAGCCTGCATTAATTCAAGACTACTTAAAATTGTGTGGACAAAATTAAAGCCAAAAACATAAGAATACTTTAATATAAATGTGTTTACTAAATAATGGTCACCCACACCCTCATATCAAGTCTCCCTCATGGGTAAGCTGAAATGTCTAAGTACTCACAGAATTTAATGCAATGTCCTAGGTAGCATTAGCCCTTTGGCAATTTAACTCTCCGCACAGCACATTTGGATGGTGTACTAGCAATAAAACTTCCTAAGCCATGAAATCAGTTCACTGTTATCAATATGCATAACAATTCAGTCAAGACATGGTACCAAGTGGGGGATACCAATGCTCAGAAGAAAGATCAGGCTTTCACATGAAATACAGAATCTGGTGTTGTCAGAAAGCCATCTGAGGGAAGCACTGTGGATTCCTTCTTGTACAACTGAATTTATACCCTGCAACCTTGGAATTTCTAGCAGGGGACTGGCATATTATGCCAATCATGTAAATACACTCTGGATTTTACTGACCAAATCAATTTTTGGTTCATTCTGGATGAACAGACTACCACTACAAATAAAATCCAAGGTTTTATTGGAAAGACTGTTCATATTCATAAAATTTACTTCTGCAATCTAGCCACTCAGAAAGGAGAAATACTTATTTGAAAAAATGTTCAGTCACACACTTCTACGAGCTAGCTGTATAGAGGAGGCATCTTTAACAAAGAACTGACAACTGTTTCTCAGTTGTAATATTTAATGCTCAGACTGCATACCATGACTTGCTGACTTACTGGATAAAAGTAAGCATCAAACTGCAATGTAGTTTTTTAAGTTTGAAGTCTTATATGAACAATTTGAGACTGAAAAACTAATCTTCACATACATGCTAAAGAAAATTCAACAAGCGGCAAATAATGCAATAAATACTCATAAAATGAACATGACTAGAAATTTTTTGTAGCTGTTAAGTGTATCATGGCCATTTTATATTGAACAGTACATAAATTGAACTTCACCTCCCAAGAAGCACTGCATTCACCCAAGGCTAAGGTGAAGTTTCTCACTTTCCTTTCACAGGATTACTCAATTACTCGAAACAATATGCATTTGCACTCCCTTCTGACTGACACTCAGATGACACAGTTTCAGGATCACTCCAAGAAAAACACTACTTATTAATTGTATTCTACAGCAATTTACATATTAATAGCAAAAGAGATCATTCTTCACAGGATTATTTCATAAAATAAACTACAGTGGAAACCCCATTCAATGTTCCTCACTTTAAGGCACTCCCTCATTTAATGTTCAATTTTAATGATCCTAAGTCAATAGTTTCATTGTAAAATTTCTCCATACTAAATTTTCCCAAGTTTAGTGCTCAAATCCAGTGCTCCCCAAAGAAACCGCATACTGATATTATGGAACTGCCTATTTATTATGACAGTCTAATGAATATATTCTTGCTGATCAGTGTTCTCTTCTTTATGGCCATTTTGCTTCATGGTAAATGCTTAGTGCATTAAACAGATGGTAAGCAATACCACCAGCAGTGGCAGCACCAGCAGACATAAAATATTAACAACAGTAAAAGGTAATGTTAAAGTTATCCCTGCTTAATTAATTAAGTACCATGCCATGAAAACATATGGAGAGTGAATGTACAACCCCAGCATTCTTAACCTGGTCACTAACATTAACAACAGCACAGTACTAAAAGCACACAAATTAAGCTTCTCAAATCAAAAAGTACAACATCGTTTAGATTACTCCAGTTAAACAAAACAACAACAAAAAAAATATATATATATGTATCAATACTTACTGATAGCACACAGTGAGTGGTACAGTTCATATGTAAAAGCTGTGAGAGGAACATCATCTGATATTGGAACAATTGCAACAGTCGAGAAATTGCCTTGTGAAGGTGGCGCATCCATTGTACGTTTGATGTTTGGTTGCTGCCAAGAACCTACAGGATAAGTATGGTCCACTTTAATGACAGTAATACTTAAATTGTGAGTTAATTTGGTTGTACACTACTATGGTAATAGTAAGAATTCTGCTGGGTTGTAGATTATAAAATAGTACCACTTCAAATGGCAATGTAGTCACCATGACTTTCCACATCATTCCATCAACAAGTCAAAGCTGAAGCCATTCCCTGTGTTTTGTGTGCACCAATGAGCATTTTCAGAACCCATCTTGCATAAAACTTGTGACGGTGTAGCCTGTGATAATCTCATAAAGAAGAGTGCATGAAATTAGTGGAACTCCACACAAAGTTCTGAAACTGTGAAGCACCATCTTTCAGAAATTATTTGGTCAACACTTTGAACAAAGTCGTCACTCACTACAGATGGCCGACCACTTTGCTCTTCGCTGTGAACATTCCATACCACTGTCTTACAGTTCCTTCATTAATTACATTCTGGCTATAAACCGCACATACATACATTTCTGCAGCAATCACATTTTTTGCATGAAGAACGCTGATAACAGCATGAATTTTGCAGCTGGTGGGATTATCAATCACAGGACACATCATAACTCACTCTGCAGAGACAAGAACAAGCACTAGATTGCTGGCTGTGTGATAGTTTACTATGCAATGAGTCATGTGATGTTACCTCACAAGCATGAGCTCTCCCCTGCTCCTACATTAGTTGCCTAAAATAAACAGTGGTTACATTCTGAACAGCCCTCATATTACACGACTGTCAAGTTAACATAATATGGCATATTTGTTCAAGGCAAGAACTGTAAAGAAAGCAGTGACAGCCGTTACTAGGGAACAGCTCTGAATACATGCACACTGCTAGGTAACAGCTTTGTAACACGCAACAATGGAGTAACTGGGAAGCGGTGTTCTATACGCAGTCTGACAGTCTGACAGTTACATGATGCAACAGGATAACTGTTGAGAGAGATCTGTCAAGGCTACATAAGGATTGTATGTCGTGAGTTAGTTCAGAGAGTCTTGTGTCTGAGACAGTAAAATGAGGTCACGGGTTCCACAAGACTTGGACCCAAGAATGGCTGTGCTAGCAAGGACCAGCAGCAATTGTAAACAACAGACTCGTCCTCTCACCAAAGAGGGTGCCCCACATCAACAAACCTGCAACAGTGTGACAGTAATAAAAATCTGGTTCTGGGCCCTAGATGGATGCTTGACACCAAGACACAATGGCCAACTGACAGTCATAACATAACTTTGACTCTGACTTGCATTTAGATTGACAATTGGAAACCAGTTAGTTCAGCTCGGGGACTTCAGCTGAAAGGTTCCAGACAGCGAGGACAGGAGCCACTAGACACAGAAGCCAAGAACACCACACTGTTGGAAGCCTCTACCATGCAGCGCAGTGAAGACTGTGACCAAGAACACTAGTCTGTGTGTGATAGTGATCTGTAGAGTGTAGTCATCTATTGTTTAAGAGTTCAATAACTCCAATTACAGATCCAAACCCCGTCTACAGTCACTCACACAGCTGACAAATTTTGCTTATGTTCAATGGGTGAAACTACTAAAACTGACTGACTTACTTTGTAGTCAGTGAAGTCCTAGATCAGATATGAAGCTCCATCTTAAAGACTTGAGGATCTTATAATGTGTTGACTAGTGAGGGATGCTGAACATCTGAGAGCTACTGGTGGTGGCAAATGAACTGTCTACAGTCCTCTCATAAATCTCCAGGAAAAGGCAAGCAGGCATGAATATTTTAAAATGAACAATGGGCACACAAACTCTTTCGCAATTGTGCCAATTGAGACAAGGTAAAGCCTAGAAATATGACCTAGAATGTGACACTCATTGTAAGCTGAAGAAAGCAGGTTGTAAATATCATGTATCATAACCCCTACTCCTCTTACTTATATTTTTTAGATGCAACCGTCTTGCCAGCACTTTCTTCCCAAACACCAACAACTGTCTTCTGCAAAGTGAAAACAATAACATAACTTCTGTAACACTAAAACAAATCTTTGAATATCATACCTAGAATCCTATGACCAAGGAGGTTAATAAGTCTAGTAACCACGATTGGAAATCGAAGTTTAATAGCATTGAACAATCCTTCCGGCAGCTTTGCTAGTTCGGAGTCTCTCACAGCCATAACAGTAGTACTTCTAGGGGTTTGGGTCACCATCTCAACCTGCAGAATTATATACATACTGTATTATGTTAGCATATTGAGTACATACCTTTTCCAACACAGCTGCAAATAAAATACTTAACAGAGTGAACCTATCTATTTTGTGACATAACATTTTTGTTGTAGAGAAATGAACATCTGTAACACCACCAGGCACACCCATTCTAGAGAAGAAATTTTAAGCTTTTTATGGAACTTGAAAGTTCATTCCATGTCCAAAAGAGTCCACCACCTGACCCTAGCCCGAGAGACATTTCAGTTCACATCATCACATGCCGTTTAAGATAAACTCTGATATCATTCTTCCACATCCATATAAACTTCTCCCAAGTTGTTCCTTCCATTCTGGTTTTCCAACTAGAACTATGTATGTATTTCTCATTTCTCTTATGTGTACTGCACACATTTGCCACTTCATCCTCCTTGATTTGGTCATCCTAAGAATATTTGGTAATGAGAAAATATTACAAAACTCCTCACTGCGTAATTTTTCCATCTAGCTGTTATTTCCCCTTTGGTTCAAATATTCTACCCTGTGCTGAAAAACCTCAGCCTATGTCATTCTCTTAGGCTGACAGACCAACTTTTGTACCTGTATACAGCAACTGGTAAAATCAATTACAATATTTGCACTTTTATACACAGAAAGGGAAGGCATAAGATTCTGAAGTGCATGGTAGCACACATTTCAACATGATCTTCCTTCCTTCATGAACATAATTTCAATTTGTTACGATCATTGCCAACATTTTTACATTATAGTAAATACTGGCTGAGGTGAAGCAACAAACCTTTGCACATTCTTAAGCTTGCTATTTGTGCTGCCATTAAAATCAACGAAAAATGTCTCATACCACTGGACAGGCCCAGAGACACAATGTGCAACAGAAGAATTCAAGTGCTCCCTTCAGGAACCAAACACGAGCTCTACAGTCTGCAGCCTATCATTATACTAACTGAACTATTATGGCTCCCTGAATATCAAACAATGTATTTTAAAAAAGAAATGTCTAATTAAAGATGCTTGTGGTCCAAAGCATCATCTTGGGTTAAAATACATTATATAATTCAAAAATATTTTTAACACGAAAACATACAGGGAAAAACTGTTATCAGTTATATAAATATATATGGACTGATAGACTTTATTTCCTTAATTTAAGTTTTAAATATTTAGCTGTATGTAAAAGGGCATGTGGACATTTTGAAATGTCAACTTTCACTTTCCATCAAGTGCAAATAATGACTACTTACAATTCCCACCAAATCTCCTTTGCCATATTCACCCACTAATTCTTTCTTTCCATTACTGTGAGTTATAACGGATCTAAGTCGGCCGCTCAGAACGATGAAAGTACTGTCAGATTCATCTCCTTGCCTGTAAATACAATAAAAAGAATTCACATACAAAACAAAACATGATTACAGTAAGTTGATCCACATGAAATGGAGCAAAATATTCCAGAAACCAACGATACTGAAATGACGAACACACCATGTGGCAGAATTTTTAAACTGCGGGTTTCAGCAGTAAAAGCACAATGGACTTTTGCTTAACCAGCTTAAAAGGTGGTTAATTTAAGTGAGTTAATCAAAAGCACAACTTCTGCTTACAAAATAAATATGCACCATTATCCCCAATTTAAAATCTGGCTGCCAGCACCACAGCAGCAAGAAACTTACATCCCCATTCATGGATAGTGGCATGAAAACAACAAAAATTTCAATACAGATATCCAGTGTCCCAGACATGACTCAAACCTGTTTGGCATGGACAGTCAATGTATCAGTCATACAGGTAGGTCGAGAAATTATATTAAAACAATCATACTATATATGAGACATATTCAAAATTGACAACATCATGGCGGCTAACAATATGTGCAGTGATATGTTAGGTTTTTGGACTTTATCCATTGTCCTGGTTTTTAAGATAACAAATAAAAACACAACGTTTCGGTCCAGTGATTGAGGCTAGCTCTTTCTAACGGACCCAACTGAATAGGGTTTTCCTTCACCTGAGGACGGAAACAGATCCAGTTTCCGAAACGTCGTGTTTTAATTTGTTATCTTAAAAAACCAGGACGATGGATAAAGTCCAAAAACCTAACATATCAGTGTGTTATACACCATCGTCAGAATCCTATAGTAACTAAATATGTGCAGTGTGAATTGCTCTGATATATATGCTGAAACTGTGAATGATAAACTAGAAACAAACTGTCAAAACTGCACTAAATTGAACAGTGAATTACAAAAAGCAAAGGAGGAAATATTATCTTATAAATAAATTATAAAAGTGCTTCAAGCTGAGTTAAGTGATAACGTGAGACTAAATAATCCGAGTGAGCTGGAATGAAATAATAATTATTGTGAACAAGCTAAAACTTTATTAATGGAAGAAGACTGGGAATTAGTAATAGACAAAAAGAAAAGAAATCTGGATGTTTTTAGTAGAAATTTAATACAATACCCACAAACGTGAATAAACCTGATGTGAAACATAACCTCAGAGATGATGAAGAACGGACTGAAGGAACTAGGAGCAAGAAATATAACGAATCATACCTTGACAAAAGAGAAGATTAAATATGAAGAAAGTCAGAGAAAATACAAACATAAAATACGGATTGGCAATAGCCATGCAAAAAAAAAGTGCAGCTGAACTTCACATGATTTTGGACCACAGATACGATATTATGGGAGTTACCAAACCAGGTGCCTTGATGAGTGATATTTTGACAATGGCTATAGATAAAGTTCCTTCATTATGTAACAAGGATATCTTGATCTTGTGGGCTGGGGCAAATGATATTAGTAAAAATAATACAAACGAAGCACTTAAGTGCTTAACCTTTAAGAGCCGGCATTTAAACCCCCCACGACTGCGCTGCTGCCGGAGTTAATTTGACGTTGCCCTTTTAATATTGTAGACTTTCAGAAAAAACTACATATTTTCCGTTCTATGCAACTTAGAAATACGAACTAAAAACCGCCTGAAAGAGAATGAAATTTCCTACAATATACCTATGACAATTTTTACAAATAAAAATTAACTGTAATTGTTATGTCATGAAATTCAAAATATACTCTCTATTATATGTGCAATGAAATTCCAAAAGACTTACCCATAAGTTTTTCTTCAAATTTGAGACGTCGTTATATCCAAAATACATTGACACTATACACCAATATGTTTGGTCAGACTGTACACGAGTTTCAACTCGTTGCGTCGTGTAAGTTTACGCTACTATAGATACTGCGTGCGGGAGCGCGGAGAGGCAGAGTTTGCTTCAGCGCGTTGTGAAGGTCACACAGACCTCACTTCTCATACGCTGGTAGACAATCTGGTTCAGTCTCTCGCTTAGCGAACAAACAGGAAGTTATTGTTTCTATCTGGCTGGCCGGACAGTGTTGTCAATGTTCAGTTCCAGATGACTCAATGAAAAATCTTGGCTTCCCCAGAGAAACAGTCCGCCACTGACTCACAAGCTGATAATTCAGACACTCACTAAACACGTCACACTTCCTTGAGAGCTACAGAAGCAGTGATCTGCCCGCACAGAGGAATGTTGGGTCAGCTTTTCTGTGAAGAAGCTTCCACTCTGTTTGGCTGACCAAGTCACAAACAGTCTTACCTACATGTAAACGAAATCGAACCCAGTGCCATGATGAAGGGTTTTATTGTTCAGAGCCAACAACTGGACCTCTGACTTGAACTTGTGTGTGTTTGTTTTGGTTTCAAACTCAACGTCTAACCGTCAGCACTTCTAAAGTGAGCACATGTCTTGCGTCCAGTATACTGGACTTTCGGCATCTTCGAGGTCACAGGTACCGTCCGGTATACCGGACTTTCGGTCGTTAAAGGTTAATGAAGTTTATGGAAGAGCATAAAAGGACAAATATCATTCTAATCCACACACTACATAGATATGATCTTACAGCTATTTCCAGTGTAAATAAAGAGGTATTGAAATTAAATAGGCAAGTAAAGAAAATAAGCAAACTGAATTCAAATGTGAAACTAATGGAAATTGATCTACAAAGACAAAATTTTACTAGGCATTGACAACATCTAAATCTATTGGGCAAAGAGTTAGTTGCCTCAAGAGCTGGCAAGAAAATCGATCAACTCTTAACTAAGTCAGAAATTAATCCTATCCAAATGCAATGGAAAGAGGATATTTTGCATGAAGAAAATTCATATGCACAAAATGAAATTGAAGAATTAATGTTGTCGAATAATTGTAAAAAGACTGTAAAATTAAATAAGTGTCAAGGTCAAGAAACAGAGGCTAATAGCAAAAAATCTATTAGAACTAGAAAAAATCCAGCAACAAAATCAAATGATTTCTTATGGTAAAACTATTTCATACGTGTAGAACAAAAACTACGAAAAGTAACGTTGTAAAAATATTTCACCAAAATCTGCATGATTTAAGAAATAAGTATAATGAAATATTATGTCATTTAGAAGAGTATACACCTCAAGTACTCTGTTTCACCAATCATCATCTTGGTAGTGATGAAATAGTTCATATTAATTTGGCCAATTATAGTTTAGGTGCATATTATAGTAGGAAAAATTTTAAGAAGGGTGGAGCGTGTATGTATGTGCATGATAGTTTAACAGCTCATACTATTAACCTTGATAAATTTTGTTGTGATAAGGATATTGAAGCCTGCGCTGTCACTTTAAATACTATAAATTTTAAAGTAATTATTTTAACTATACATAGATCACCTTCCAGTGACTATGAAATATTTTTGAGTAAACTGGAATTGATTCTACAAAATTTGTATAAAAAAAGGATAAAGTTATTGTTAGTGGGGATTTTAATGTGAATTATATGGAAAATTCTCATAAGAAAACTAGATTTGAAGATATTCTTAGCTCCCTCAATCTTTGAAGTATTATTACCTTTCCTACTAGAGTAGGACCAAATTCATCCACAACTATTGATAATATATTTATTGACGAACAATATATTACCAACTATGAAGTTTTTCTGTCTCTAATGGATTATCGGATCATGAAGCACAATTATTAATTGAACAATTTCCATTACCTTGTATCAAAAAGAACAAAATACTGGTAAAAAGAAATATAAATGATCATAATATGGCAGAATTTAGAATGAAACTAAGTTGTGAAAAATGGGAACTGGTTTATAAATATAATCACATTAATACTAGTTTTAATCAATTTTTAAATATATTTTTGAGACATTTTTATGAGTCATTTCCAGTAACAAGTAGACAAAATTATAAACAGAAATCATGGATTACCACTGGTATAAGAATTTCTTGTAGAAAAAGAAAAGGATATTATATGTTGAAGCAAACAAAAGTAAGAGCCCTATAATAGCCACCTATTATAAGAACTACTGTAAAATATTAATTGGAGTGATAAATCTAGCTAAGAAGATGACATATGATAAACAAATTAAATATTCAAAAAATAAAGGCAGAACCACCTGAAGAATAATAAATAGTGAAGTGTTAAAAAAAGGAAATAGAGAAAATATTCAAACCTTGGACACTGAAGGTAAAAAGAATACTAATTTGAACAATATTGTTGAAACATTTAATAGGTATTTTAGTGGTATAGCGGATAATATACATAAATATATAAAAGGAAACGTGAAAATAATAAATCTAAAACTACAAATTATATGACATATGACTGATTCATTTGAGACTCCACTACCTAGCATAAAAACTATAAAAACTATGAGTAGGGAAATAAAAAGGATTATATGGTCCCTAAAATCTAGTCAAACCCATGGATATGATGAAATTTCAAATAATATACTGAAAGCCTGTAAAATCTTTATTAGTGAACCTATAAGTTACTTATGTAACAGAGCTATGCATGAGGGTATTTTCCCAGACAGATTAAAATATGCTACAATTGTACCAATATACAAAATAGGTGATAAAAACCTAGAATCAAATTACAGACCTATATCCTTATTGACATCCATTAGTAAGATATTTGAGAAGGTAATGCATAGCAGATTGCTAAAACATTTGAATGATAATAGTATATTAAGCAAATACCAGTTTGGATTTAGAGAAAATCAAGGGACTGAAAATGCAATTTATAGACTTATCTCTGGAATACTAGACTCATTAAATAAAAAAATGCAAGTATGTGGTATTTTCTGTGGCTTAGAAAGGGCTTTCGATTATGTTAGCCACAATATATTATTCAATAAATTGAGGTATTATGGAATAATAGACAGACAATACGACCTATATAAGTCATATCTATTGAATAGAAAACGGAGAACTGCTATCTCCAATGGAACAAACAGTAGTAAAGAACACTCTCGATGGGTTAAAGTAACTAATGGTGTCCCGCAAGGGTCGATACTGGGACCACTGCTGTTTATAATATATATAAATGACCTACCCAAGATTTTGAAAGACTAAGAGTATTCCCATTCTATTTGCTGATAATGCCAGTTTTTTAATCTCTCAAGACAATCTAATAAAACTTAAGAATATAATAAAGGAGTATATAGGATGCTGGAGGACTGATTTTAAAAAAATTTAATGTCACTTAATATAATGAAAACATATTATATAAACTTCACTGTAAAATTAATGTAGTTAGAGAAATGGGAGGCATAGGAATGGTTTTATTAAATACAAATCACATAAAATTTCTTGGCCTGACTGTCCAAAATCATATATCTTGGGAAAGACATATAGATGAGATAATAAAAAAATTAAATACAGCTTGATATATGATAACAAATGTAAAACCATCATCGTGAATGTACGATAACCATATTTATAACTGATGTTTTTATATGTTGGATTTGTTGTATATGTTAAAGCTATATGACCAAAATATTCTGTTACTTTTGACGGAAACTTTTATCTTAAATTTTTATTTTAAATGATAATTTTGAGTGTATTGTGCTTGAGAGTAATTGTATTATGATGTAAACAAACACTGTCATATATTATAAGTCTTTTTGACAATTGCTTGATAGTATTAACAAGATAAATTGACACAATTCTGTATCTAGGCCTTTAGCCTACTATAGATGTAATGGAGTAAGGAAGAAATAATAATAATAATAATAATCTGATCATAATTCAGCAACCTGTTAATATTTATCACTTTACATTTATTAACATAAGACCACAGTTCTCACCTGTAAACAGCACGTCCACTTTCTACAAACACCCAGTCTAAAGCAAAGTCCACTTGACGTACAAAGGGCGACAACCTTCTTACAACTGTGTGAGCTATGTGTAATACCACTTGCGGCCTGTCTCGCATAATGCTGCCAGAAAGAAGCATAAAACAGTAAAATACACAACAAAATTGAAAACAATACTCTTTTTATAGCGACAGATCAATGAGTCACACTACTTATATTGCTACCAGATTTTTCTTACATAAAAACACAAAATATTTATTCATGTATATATATTTGGCAACAGGAGAACTCAGCAAGAATGGTGTTCCAGAAATTTCACTTTAAAACATGTATTTTATTCATTGCAAGTTGTACAGATTTGTTTTCTTATACTGACTGATTAGCTCTTGATGTTATGTAGGCCATGACAAATGAAGCCACTGATGCATGTAACACAAGACAGTGGACAGCTGAATCAAGCTTTCCACTCCCAGTCCACATAATTCTTGGAGAGCAAAATTAAATGAGAACTACACAGCTTGCATATTAAAGTTAATTAAAAATATTTAATTCAATTCAAAATATTCAGAATTTCAAGATTTCATAATACAATACAATACAATAATCCTACACTGAAGTGGCACTGAATTCTTGGAGAGCAAAATTAAATGAGAACTACATAGGTTGCATACTAAAATTAATTCAAAATATTCAATTCAAACCAAACTGTATTCAATAAATTTAAAATATTCAGTATTTCAAGATATCACATAGCCAGGATCTTGTACAATAATCCTACAATGATGTAGCACTGAATCTCTTTGTCTTTTTATCTCCTGTTTAAAAACATAATTAATTAACATATGTACTGGCTTACAGTGCGTGCTTTTCTGGGTTTCTATATACACTCAACTCCTGATTATCCGGGGGCAGATAAACCGGTTTGCGGCTTAACCGGGGCTATTTTGAGGCTTCTATCTTGTTTAATATTCATTCGCTTTTGTTTCACATGGTGAGTCATCATCATCATCATCATCATCATCATCATCATCATCACTGGCACGACAGCCCTTTGTGAGCCCTGGTCTTCCTCGGGATTGCTACCATTCTTCTCTATTCGATGCTACATTCCTCCAGTTCTTTACACCCAAAATTCTTATGTCCTGCCACACACATCCTTCCCATCTTAACCTTGGTCTTCCCACTCTCCTATTTCCTTCTGGTTTAGTATTAAGCATTTTCTTGATGGTTCTATTCTCGCTGGCACGTATTATGAGTCCAGCCCATTCAAGCCTTTTCACCTTTATAAATCCAATAATGTCTGGTTCATTAAATAGTTTGTATAGCTCATGGTTATACCTCTTCCTCCATATTCCATTTTCTTCCACGGGTCCAAAGATATTCACATGATGAGTTGTAACACTATTTTCACACTAGTGTGAACCAAGCTCTGCATTTTTTGGTCCTGTTATGCTAACACGATGTTCTAGGGTAGGGGTGAAAGAATGCAAGGATTTGTGGAAAGTTTCAAGGACAAATACACCGTCCCAGTTAGTCTCTTTGTATCGATCTTAAAGTGTGTTAGCAAAATGTCAGGGTGTAAAAGGAAGTGTGTTGTGTTAAGTATTCAACAGAAACTTGAAATTATCAATCAGTTGGGAAAAAGAGGTGTAGTTAAACAATTAGCAATGCAATATGGTATTGGAGAACAAACTATTCGTGATCTGAAAAAACAAAAGAATCAATTAATTTCCTTTGCTTCGTCTTCTAATTCAAGTGGAATGAAGAAGAGAAAAACCATGAAAATCAATTTTTGAATTGTTTCATTTTTGGTCCGTTACACTATCAATCACAAAGTTAATAGAAAGTTTGTCGAGTGTAACAATTTGTAGGTCACTTCTTTATCACTTCTGCCTTACATGTTTCGGTTTGACACAACCATCATCAGAGGCACTTACTACAATTATGAAAACACTGTCGTTGTTTATGATGTTCACAGTTATGTTTGTTGTGTGGACACTGCTACAATATGTTGACATGTAAAAGCACAACACTTGCTAGGATAGTTGAGTACACTATCAATTCTCACCTTCCATCCGAAACCGTTTCTAAGTTAAAACGCTAATGCTAAAATATTTAAAATATTTAAAACATTTTATGTAAAATGCTAAGCTCCTCCTTGTTAATTCATCCCGAAGATGGGAGATGTCAGCTTGAGGTTGTATGGCTTATGGTTAGATGTTTCCTATGTGCTGTGTGTTGTGTACTGTGTGTTGTTGCTACTGTTGTGTAGTACACAACACACAGCACATAGGAAACATCTAACCATAAGCCATACAACCTCAAGCTGACATCTCCCATCTTCGGGATGAATTAACAAGGAGGAGCTTAGCATTTTACATAAAATGTTTTAAATATTTTAAATATTTTAGCATTAGCGTTTTAACTTAGAAACGGTTTCGGATGGAAGGTGAGAATTGATAGTGTACTCAACTATCCTAGCAAGTGTTGTGCTTTTACACGTCAACATATTGTAGCAGTGTCCACACAACAAACATAACTGTGAACATCATAAACAACGACAGTGTTTTCATAATTGTAGTAAGTGCCTCTGATGATGGTTGTGTCAAACCGAAACATGTAAGGCAGAAGTGATAAAGAAGTGACCTACAAATTGTTACACTCGACGGACTTTCTATTAACTTCATGAAAATCAACATATAATGATCTCGACAAAGCAATGCTCATCTTGTTTAATCAACTAAGGGCACAGGGAACAACAATAACAAGAGCAGTTTGTGCTAAACAAGCAAAATTTTTTCCGAAGCACTTGAACTACAAGAAAGTTTTGACGCTTCTTCCGGTTGGCTAACACGTTTCAAGCAGTGTCACGGAATAAGAAAAATTAGTATTCAAGGTGAGAAATGGTCAGGGGACTTGTCATCATCAGTTCAATTTTGCACCAATTTTGATAGTTTCATGAAAAGTGAAAATCTGCAGCCAGAACAAATCTATAATGCTGATGAAACGGGTCTTTATTGGAAGTGCTTGCCAACCAGAACTTTGGCATCTCAAAATGAAAGACAGGCTCCAGGTCACAGACCCAGTAAGGAGAGACTGACAGCCTTGTGCTGTTCTAATGCATCAGGAACACACAAACTAACACCAGTACTTATCGGCAAAGCCAAAAGACTACGCTCTTTTAAAGGAACAGTAGCTTTAAGTCTGCCTATCCATTATTTTAATCAGAAAGGAGTTTGGATGAATAGAGCGATATTTAAAGAATGGCTTGATTTTAGATTTGTGCCTCAAGTTCATGACCATCTAAAATCTCAAGGCCTACCTGAGAAAGCTGTGCTCCTCATTGACAATGCACCCTCACATCCTAACAAAAGTCTCCGGAGGTCAGATGATGGAAATATTTTTGTGAAATATTTTCCTCCTAATGTTACCACACTTATCCAACCAATGGATCAAGGAGTTATCTCAAGTATGAAGAGAATCTACAGATCAAATTTGCTACAAAAGTACATCGATGAAGGCAATGATCTGACGTGTTTCTGGAAGTCCTTTTCAATGTTAGATGCCATATACGAGATTTCAACAGCGTGGGATACAGTAAAGCCATCTGTATTGAAAAATTCATGGAAGAAACTGATGCCTTTCATCACTAATGAAGATGACGAAATCCATGGATTCACTGCATCCAGTGAAAATGAGGTAGCCATAGAATTGACAAAATTGGCTAACCAAGTTCATGGTGGTGAAGAAGTCAACGAGGAAAATATAAGAGAGTGGTTTAACTGTGACTCGTGTGAACCGGGCTTCGAAATGTTAAGCAGTGACGAAATCGTAACTTCAGTGGGGGTGCAGCCAGAAGAGCGGGAAGAAAGTGAATATGAGGAAGAGGTGGACAGTGCTGCTAGTAAGAAAATATCACATGGTGCTGCTCTTAATCATTTGGAATCCTTATTAGACTATCTTGAGAGTGAAGAGAACAGTTTATTAAGTGACAAGCTAATATTACGTAGGCTTCGTATGGATATCCGTAAAAAGGAAAATGCCGCGAAAAAGCAAAAGACAGTATTAAATTATTTTAAGTGTTAAGTGTGACCGTAAAAAGTGCTGGATGTTGTTGAACAGTGATTGAAATAACTAATTCATACTGAGTGTAATGTAAAGAAAGTATTAAATAGGCCATGAGATGACATAGAAATGAGGATGAATAAATTTAAATACAGGTAGGTCTATAGTATTATGAAGGTATTAAAAGGNTTTTAATAAAATCTGTCTTAACCGGGTTTTTTATTAATTGTGATTCCCATCCCCACCATTATCCCGGATAATCGAGAGTTGAGTGTAGTTTACTTCAAAACTAAACTTCACCTGGATTTATGTTACCTGTCATATCATTTTGGATAGGTGTAAAGCTTGGTTTCTAAACCTAAGGAAAGATGGTTTCAATGTTAGAGAACATAATTCTTAAGAGAATATTTAGACATAAGATAGAGAAGTGACAGAAGAAGTTTAATTGGAAAATCTGATGGGAAGAGGTTATTTGGGAGACCCACATGTAAATGGAAGATTAAGCAAATGGGTCTGGACAAAAAAGAAACATGTAAGTGTGGACTGAATTAATCATGTTGAGCAGATGATTAAAGAGGTAGGTCATTATGAATATAATGGTCCTTTGGGTTCCATAAGTGGGGAATTTCTTAACTAAGTGAGTGTCATGGACCCAGTTTAATGTAGTCAGGTGATAATTTCAGTGATATTTAATAAACCAAAGAGGTTTCCACATTCACAACCATACTTCATTTTACTAATATACTATTTAAGATGCCCCTTCAATTCCAACACTAATTCATCAGTAACATACTGTATATGAGCAAGTATCTTCATTTTGATTATTTGCATGCTGCACATACATACATACATACATACGAGGCCTGACAATAAAGTTCGCAAACCTGCCACTGTGCTCGTCATAGCAGCGGTGGACAGAAATCTCAGGATGGTTTGATGACGTTGGCATACCAGCTTTTCACAGCTGTGTTGTGGTTGATCTATGGCAGTCTTCATCTGAGTGACGTCTATTATTGTGTGAGTGTGCTTTGGTGTGCTGTTGTGAGAATGCTGGAGTTTGTATCAGAGCAACAAACATTAAATTTCTTTAGCAAGAGTGGAAGCAAAATCAAAAGCTGTTAGTGCAAGTTTACGGGAATAATGCTAAGAAGAAAACATCAGTTTAAAAGTGGGTGACACGTTTATCTGAGGGAAGAGAAAGTGTCACTGATGAAGAGAGATCAGGATGGTTAGCAACGAACAGAACTGAAGAAAATATTGCAAAAGTTCGTCAAATATGCGTGAAAATCGTCAGCTGACTCTCGGGAGCATAGCAGAGCAAGCACGCATTAACAGAGAAACAGGAAATTCTTAACTGAAGATCCTGACGTGAGGAAGGTTTGTGCAAAAATGGTCCCAAATGAGCTCACTGAAGAACAAATCAAAGAAGAGTTGAAATTTGCCAAGACCTTCTAGAGAGGCAAGATGACATTTTGGGCCATGTCATCACAGGAGATAAAACATGGGTCTACCAATACAACCCTGAAACAAAGCGGCAAAGTGCACAACGGAAGACTGCCAATTCTCCAAGACCAAAAAAGTTCTCTCAGTCCAAATCAAGAGTCAAAGCAATGTTACTACCTTTTTTTGATATTAGAGGGACTGTTCATTATGAGTTTGTACCAACCAGACATATAGTTAACCAAGTTTACTATTTGGAAGTAGTGTAAAGGCTGAGTGAAAAAGTTAGATGGAAACAACCCAAACATTCTGCCAACAACTCATGGATCTTGCATCACAACAATGCACCTGCTCAAATGGCACTGTCTGTGTGGGAGATTTTAGCTAGTAAACAAATAACTGTGTTGGAAGACCCTCCATATTCACTGGATCTAGCCCCCAATGACTTCTGTTCCCAAAGATAAAGGAAACACTGAAAGGAAGGCGTTTGATGTCACTGATGACATCAAGAGTAATACAAGGGCAGCTCTGAAGGACAGTCCACAAAACCAGTTCCGAAATTGATTTGAAGGGTGGACTAGGTGCTGGCATCGGTGTATAGATTCCCAAGGGGAGTACTTTGGAGGTGACCTCAATGATATTCGGCAATAAGGTATGCAACACTTCTACCATGATGAGTTCATGAACTTTATTGTTTACTAAACTTACCTATAAAATGTATTCTTGGAGAGCATAGCTATCCTTGATGCATGTTTTGCTCTAATGGAAAAGAAACTTGGCTCTCCAGTGAGGACAGCTAATCCACCTACAATTTCTCCAGGATGGGCAACAAACATTGTGACTTCCTGCCCAGAATCAGCTATCTTCTGAGAGACAACTAATGTCCCAGAAAGCAAGTAAATCAAAGCTACATCCTTAAAACAGAAAAAAATAAGCAAAACATGTTTTATTGAAGTATTACTTTTCAGAATATTCCATTTAAAATTATAATTTCAACATTAATTGCACAAAAGTATGAGAACTTAACAGAACAAGGGTGTAAAGAAACAATAAATGAAGAGCATGAAATTATCTGTTAGTGACTCCTTTTCATGTCACAATACACCCATTAAATTTCTTAGTCCATTAGTCCAAGTTGAAGTTTAGCAAAGTGTATGAACATAACAGAATGATAATGTATACCACAAAGATATATGGACATTTGGCTGTCAGACAAGACTCCTATAAAGCCATGCCAGTTCCATCACTGCCAGTAGATTGCACTACTGACACACAAGGCATGTAATAAAACTAAACCATTACTCTGTAGTCAAATTAAATTCCCTTAAATAAAAACACAGATAATTACCAGCACAGAGCACATCAGATGAAAGTGTATCAAATTTTTCGTATTACTGTGTTGAGCTCCTGTTGCTGACCATGGTAGGCTCTGTGTGCCCAGCAAGTAAAGCAAATTAATTTTGTTGCTTGCAAATGGTAGGATGAAGGAAAGAATGTTCACATAAAATGAGCTCCAACTAAAAGCCTATTAGCTCCACAGTTTCTGAAGTACTGAAGAATTTTGTATGTGAACAAAAAAAGCCACACTCTAACCTGACAAAAAAGTCCCGCAATCTCTCTCCAATCATAAATTATTTTTAACAATGTTGTACAATACAGCGTTCAAAGGATTACACCCATGGTAGTATAATCTGAAGATTCAACACCATTAACACAATCCTGAGTATGTTCCAACTTACCTCTCATACTTGTAACACACACAGGACAACAATGTCTAAACTGAATAACAACAAGAAAACAGTATTTCCTGGATATATTCTTCACTTTATTCCATGCTGAATTTAACTTGCTTTATTTTTGTTGCTTTCAGATATTTTTACATTTTGAAACCTTTCAAATTGTGCATGGCTTTTGCAAATTTGTAACTACACTAAAATATTATTTAATATACAAATACAATTCATGTCATAGTCTTCTGTCCTATTTGGTCAACTTCCCCAATCCACACCAACAGACATATGTTCATGAAATTACGTGGTGCAATCCAAAAGTTCCCGAAATATATTAATAAAAACTATTACATCTTACCTAGATCTTATTCTGCACCATCACCTTCAAAGTAGTCCCCTTGGGAGCGCATACACTGATCCCAGCGTTTCTGCCACTTTTCAAATGCATCCTGGAAGTCTTTCTTTGTTAGGGTGTTTAGTACCATCTGTGTTTCCGCTTGAATTTCCTCAACAGTATCAAATCTTCGCCCCTTCGACTTGATTTTCATCTTGGGGAAGAGAAAGAAGTCGCACGGAGCTAAGTCTGGCGAGTACAGTGGGTGGGGAACAACTGTCATCTTGTTTTTAGCCAAAAATTCCTGCACAGTGTAAGCCGTATGTGGTCGTGCGTTGTCATGGTGGAGTACCCAGTCGTTCGTTCGCCACTTCTCTGGACGTTTTCTCATGTTCTCCCTCAAACGCCTTAGAACATCGCGATAGAACTCTTTATTGACTGTCTGACCACGAGGGACGAACTCCTTATGAACAATCTCGTCAATATAAAAAAACAGATCAACATGGACTTAATGTTGCTCTTGACTTGTCGAGCTTTTTTTGGTCGAGGTGAAGAAGGGCTCTTCCATTGCGACGAATGCTGCTTGCTTTCAGGGTCATAGCCATAAACCCAACTTTCGTCACCAGTGACAACCTTCGAAAGAAAGTGTGGATCCCCTTGAAGCTGTTGCTGAAGTTCCCTGCAGACTTCCAAGCGATGCTGCTTCTGTTCATTTTGCAGCAGTTGTGGCACAAACTTCGCCGCAATCTTCCTCATGTTCAGTTCCTCTGACAAAATTCGCTGACATGTACAATAACTTAGTCCCAAGGTGTTACAGAGGTCTTGGATGGTCAGTCTACGATCTTGCAGAATCAGATCCCTAACTTTCGCGACATTTTCTGGTGTTTTGCCTATTGACGGCCGTCCTGAACGATCGTCATCATCAGTCAATGTTCGGCCATTTTTAAAATGCTTATACCAGTTGTAAGTTTGTGTCTGGCCTAAACTGTTTTCACCAAAAGCTTGCTTCAACATTTGGTGTGTTTCTGCAGCAGTTTTCCCAAGTTTGAAACAAAACTTTATACAGACACGCTGCTCTCTCTCGCAAAACCGCAAAGTCACGGAAACACAACAATGGAAATACGTTCACCAACAATAAACCCAACCACTCAACTCGACGCTGCTTGCCACACTGATTCAAGAAGGATGTGTTAGGAGACACCTAGCGGTATTTCGATGTACTCATAACCATTCGCATGCAAAATTCAAATTTCGGGAACTTTTGGATTGCCCCACGTCATTTCCTCATAATGAGAGAAAGTAATACTTAAACATTTAATTACTTTGTGGGATTCTTCTTTCATGAGGTATGTTCCAGCTGGTACCTCACGAATTTCCACCTTTCCTCCACGGAGCACAGTGTCATCTTCAAGTCCTAGCTCTTTCACAAATGTTTCTGTGGCAATCTGTATTAAGGTTTCTTCATCTACTGATTCTGGGACAGCAGCAATTCTTCGCTTTGAACTACTTACATTCGGCTGTACATCAGGAGCCTGGCACAATTAAAAATACAATTCCAAATTACAAATTCACGTTTAAATATAATGAAATCCCCATTTAAGGTTTCCTTTGGAGGCAGCAGATTTGAACACTAAACTGATGAAAATCTTAAATGGAGGTAATTTATTAATGACCTGAGAACAGTGAAACTGAACACTAAATGATGGACAATCCAGAACTGAGGAATATTAAATGGAGGTTCCACAGCAGTCCGTAGCAAGACCATAAGTAACAATGGTCATTACACATACTGAGTAAGTTCTAAACATAATGTACAAGTTCATCAATATTGTGACGTGTTGCGCTATGCAGGGACACCCTTCCCCCGCCAGCGGTTATGTAACGCTATCAGATCGCTGTCGTTACTAAGGTAACAGGCGAGTCAACACTCCTTTGCCTACCCCGCCAGCGGTGACATCACCAAGGGATACCGCAGTTGCTAGGCAGCAGTAAACAACTCCCGACAGCGTTGCTAGCAACATGGCACCAGACAACAGTGGTGCATATTACGTGGCTGTTTTCTGTGTTGTCCAGAACGAGGCTAAATAAGGAGCAGCGAAGACTATTCACAGTTAGTTCCGAGCAAGCCTACGAGTTAGTTACAGCTCTCAAGTGAATGAGTTACAGTTCTCCAGATCTCTAGTTACGAGTCAGTCACCAGTTAACTGCAGTACAGTATTTGTGATATGCCAATGGCAGTAATTGTGGATCTGTAATTTGTGTGATTGTAAGAGTGAATGTGGAATAAAATTCACTATATCAAACATGGCGTGAAATTATTTGTCGCATTATACACCCAACACATGACAATATATTAACTGATGCAAAATAAAATTTTAATAGAATCTTACAATAAAGAAGAAAATGTTCTCTTACTATACCATATCACTTCAGCATTGTTAAATTATACATCCTCAATGCATTCCATGAAAGGCTGTTCTTTGAAAGTCATTCATTATGTGAAAATCAGTTAAATTAAAATTTGTTTCATAAACAAAAAAAAAAAAATTCATGGCCTGTAGTCTGCAAGCAAACTATACTGACCAAGCAACTGCCACTTATCAGCAAAGTTAGTGCCAACTTTAGTGGATAGAGAGTGCTGCGTGGTCAGCACAACGGATCCCCAAGGCCGTTAATCTCGATTTTCTAGACCAGAGCCACTATTTCCTTGAAATAGCTCCTCAATTATCCTCACAAGGCTTAGTGGACCCCACTCCAGACCCACACCTTCTCAGAAAATCTGGCAGCGCCGGAAATTGTACCTGAGACCTCTGGATCTGTAGCCAGGAACTCTGACCACTAGAATATACAGGGGAGGTCTGACGCTTCTAGGTGTATGATTTTAATTTCCTGATTCAAAATTTGTTTCATACTAATTGAAAATTCATAATTAGAGACAGAATGATCTGAACTTCTTTTGGCTTATTTTGGACTTCACCCATCGTCCGGTATATAAAAAAGACAAAAAACCACAACGTTTCGGAGACTGGATCTGTCTCCGTCTTCAGGTGTATAGGGAAGGTTTAACCTACTCAGTTGGGCCCCTTAGAAAGAGCTATTCTCAATCACTGGACCTGATCTGAGTTGGTTGAGCCACTATGATACAAGCCAGAAGGTCGTGGGTTCGATTCCTGATGAGGCAATCAGATTTTTCAATTTACCTAATCCTTCCAGCCATACTATGGCCCTGAGGTCAAGTCATCCTCTAACAAAAATGAGTACCAGGAATCTTCCTGGGGGTAAAGGGCAGCCAGCATGTAAGGTTGACAACCTTATTGCCATCTGTGAGCCCAATGTCTATGAAAGGTGAGAGTCTCGATGTCCCACAACCTTATGGGCTTCCATGGCCTGTTAAAGAGATAGCTTTACCTTTATTACAATAACTCATTTGTAAAAGACAATACTAATCAAGAGGGACATGTGATAGTGTAGTTGGATGAGGCACTATGCTAGAAGTCAGAAGGTAGCTGGTTCGAGTCCCAATGAGGTGGATTTTTTCAATTTGCCTAATCCTTCCAGCCACACTACAGCCTTGACATCTCACAACCCTATGGGCCTTCAGGGCCTGTTACAGGGATAGCTTTATCTCTTTACCTTTTTTTTTTTTTTACTAATCAAGATATTAATTTAAGAAATTTACAGATGTGGGTAAAGCTGACCACATCCAAGAAACACTTAAAAAAAATGGTGGGAAATGGTGTACAAACATATTATGAACATATGTATGAAGTGTTATATGAAGTGAAAAGGAAAGTTAATTTTACAATTTAATTAATACAAACTTTTTTAATTGAAAATTTATAGAATATGGAGTTCGAAAACATCAGCCAGATTTTTGGTTTTCAGTACCATACAAGTATTACAGGACATACATATTGTAATATGTTCCTCCACCTTACACTTACGTTACACACTGGATACAACACACTTGACCTATATATGCGGTATATAAAATCCTTCAGTCTCCCCCAATTCCTGTCATTCTGTCTGCCTGGATGCTGTCGCAGTTTCAGCACTAAATATACACATATTGTTTAATGCAAACAGCTATCTACTTATGAGCATGAATAGAGCAATCTACTTATCACCATGGAGTGAGACAGCAGTAAATAGACAAGACATGTAATGCTATATCTGCATCCCTGAAAACAACCAATTAAAATTCCTCTGTTCATCTGCCTGTCTATACACATGATGTAACTCACAAAGAGAGAAAATAATTTTGATTAAAATTAAATTTTGAGAATTTTAAGACAACTGTCCACCACTTCAATTTTCATTAAGAATAAACAATTTTAACCACCACTTTACATATGTTCCTGCATTATCTCAAGCATACCTCACTAAATTTTAGCACAGCAAAAGATGTTTTAATGAATGTTGTACAGAAAAATAATATACAAATTTTAAATCCAGTACACTTTTTGTGTAAGTCACCTACATTAAAAACAAGTAAAAGCTCTAAAATAAAAGTTATCATATTCAGTTATGCAGTCATCACACCTACATAACATGTCTTAAAATGACAAAGAAGGCAACATGAAGCATGTAAATTCACCAATAGTAATATTATTTTCATACAGAGATTAGTCATTTTGAATAGCTGCATAAAGAAATGGATTCTAGACATAAACAAACAATTCTAATATGCACACAGTTACTCTCTGAAGTACATGAGTGATCACACCTGTTGACAGGTCAAAGATGAACCATTACTTAAAACAGAACAAAAGAAAATCAAATAAGGAAATATTCAGGTATCAGGCAATTATTTACAGAAATGAAAACAAAATTTGTAAAATAAATTATGGCAATCTAAAACACAAAGAAGTGTTATGAATATAGAAGCTTTCACTATTGAAAAGCATCACCGATTGTTAGTGAAAATGATTTGTAGTGCATTTGCAGGACAACCAAATTAGTAAATGAAACTTCTGTCCATTGTTTGTTCTGGAATGCATAGCCATGCATTGACATAACAAACCTGGGGAGATATTTGCTGCTGATGATCAAATTCTGGAAGCATATCTGGTTGTGGCTGAAACTGAGATGACGGCAATTTCATCTCCAGACAAGATCTTGACCTAATGCGATTGAGTGTTTGGGGAGGGAGATTCATACCGGACACCAAAGACAGAAAGTCAACCTGGTCAGAAGGTGATGCCCCAGACAGCATGTCCAGGGAAGTGCCTACAACAAATGAATGAAAACAGACAGCAATGAAGGACACTCAATGTTATTCACTGTAATGGCACATTAATACTATATTAATACTACATAAATAGTATTCTAGCTGGCTCTTCATGAATATTAAAGTTATCAAGTGCACAACTGAATGTAACTGTTACCAATTTAAGAGACACTACTTCATATACTGCTTGCATAACTTTCAGTTAGTTATGAAGATTTAATGTTTCTACCTATGGGTATTCCGCTCTCTTCCTTTGGTACAATGTTATCTCTTGTTCTGGATCTCACAGGAGAACCTGCAAAGGGACTCTGCTTTTTACTACGCTGAGTGCCCTGAAAATAAAGTACAAAAAACAGTACATACTTGAGACAACATGAACCACGGGACACGGGAAGTTTATCAATATTATGCAATTAATAATACTTACTTTAAATACTGACTTTTAGATTAACAGCCACCAATATTTCAAATTACAGCACAACTAAATATATAAACAAAATTTTCTGAGCATGCAATAAATTTACCCTTAATGGGTGATGTGGATACCCTCTCATGTAGAAAGATTTTACTACATTAACAATATAAGATGGATAAATGAGTGCTTTTATTATGAAAATGTAACTACACACATGGACCCATTACAACAGCATATTTGACAAATACATATAATTCTTTATCCTGAGAAGAATTAACACATGTGCTCATTTTCTTATATTTGCAGAAAATATTATAATATATATAAAAGTGCAGTTTTAACTACAGCAAAAATAGTTTATACACTGAAATGGAGTAAAGGAAAAAAAAACCATGTCAGCAAGTGTTCACTTGAAGGACACTGACAATTACTTCACCATATGATCTTGTCAACAAAGTTACAGACAAATAGTTAAGTAAAGAATTTCTCACCTTTAATGGAATCCAATGGTTCATTACAATGTTTACATGGGCCTACCATTCAATCCTATACCGAATATGACAAACCAAATCTGCATCCTCACATCCATTTCTCTAAGACGCCTTTTAAATTTATCTTCCCATCCATGCCTGTCTCCCTAGTACTTCGCAGCCTTCAAAATATCTGCCCAAAATTTCCTATGCCTCTCTCATTTCTCACATGTATGTTACATGCCTTGCCCACCTCATTCATCTTCATTTCATCACATTAATAAAGAGTACAAATCATGAAGTTCTCATTATTCAATTTTCTCTATCCTAATATTACTTCCTCTCTCACATTGGTACTCTGTTCTCAAACATCCTTAATCTAATGTTCATATTGATACAAAACAATTGGTAAAATTATAATTGTATATATCTTAATCTTCAGGTTCAGACAGGAAAGAAAAAATTAAACTGAAAGATATGTGACTTTTGCATATGAAAACTGATATTGTAACATAGTACTGTAGTCCAGTTAGGAAAGGTAAAATGGTTTTTCTTTCAGCTAAACACTACCAAGCAACCTCCAAATTTAATCTGTTTTTAATAATGACAGAAAAACCTACTTATATAAAACTATGGCTGTAAATGCCCCTTTTCACCATTCAACATGTTACTAAATACAAGTAAATGTAAAACATTTACACTTATAACAAAAATCCATAGCAGTGAACTACGAGGGTCGTACTGAAAGTCATGAGCAGCAATTTTTTGTAAAGTAACATGCTTTATTATTGACAAGCCAAACACACCACCTCAATCTACAGACCTTTCTTTATTTTTCCACATAATCACCACTTCTTTGTACACATTTCTCCCAGCGTTCTGGGAGATTGAAAATTCCCCTTCTGTAAAATTCCGTTCCAGCCATCCGAAGACACTGACGCACTGCTTTCTGAATTGCCTCCCTTGTCTCAAAACGTTGTCCATGCAGCTGATCCTTCATAAATCCGAAAAGATGGTAGTCGGAGGGTGCCAGATCAGGGCTATAGGAGGGGTGTGGAAGAACTTCTCACCCCATCTTTGCAATTGCTTCCAATGTGAGGTGAGCGGCGTGGGGGCAAGCATTGTCATGCAGGATGATGATGTTTCGTTCCAGACATTTATTGCGCAATGCACGACAGAGCTTGTGCAGTGTCTGGACATAACAAGCAGCATTAATGGTTTGCCCAGGTCCCAGGAAGTCAGTCAGAATAAACCCCTCTGCATCCCAAAAAACTGTGCTCATCACCTTCGCAGCTGATGGCACTGTCTTTGCCTTCTTTTCTGATGGAGAACGCAAATGGTGCCATTCCGAACTCTACCGTTTCGTTTCGGGCTTGAAATGGTGAAACCAGCTTTTGTCACCTGTCACAATAGAGAGCAAAAATCATCGCCTTCATGTTGATATCTCTGCAGCAGTTCTGAGGTGATGGCTTTTCGCTGACCTTTGTCGTCTTCGGTCAATAACCGCAGGACCCAACGAGCACAAACTTTCCTATAGCCCAAGCTTTCTATCATCTCCTGTACTGCACTGTGCCCTACTACAAGTTTTCAGGCTATTGTGTCCACAGTCACACACCTGTCATCTTGAATGATCTCATCCACTCTTTCCTTGTTGCATTTAGTTGAGGCTGTTCGAGGACGACAGCTCCGAGGCTCATCTTCAATGCTGGTGTTCCCATCTTTAAAATGTTTCACCCATCTTCAAACACTGCTCGCACCCATGCACACACTTCCATAAGCATGCTGAAGTCTCTGGTGAATTTCTGCAGCAGGGATTTCCTCTTTCACAAGAAATTTGATGACAGCACACTGGCAAAATGACATACTGTTGTCGGCCATTTTGTTAGGAGTGATACTGGTCACATGATGCAAGCTATTGATGTCACAAGACACTCAAGGTTAACACAACAGCTGGTTCCACCTACCACCGTACTCTCTTTCATCTGCTGTTCCCAGGTTGCATGCAAAAAAAAAAAGTTGCTCATGACTTTCAGTACGACCTACGTAGAATAGTGATCACTTGTGACCTCACTCATCTGCACTTGAGCACACTATATATACATGGGTTTCATGGGCTACCAGCAGACCTGATATCTTTTTAAAGATTTCTTTCAGGTGAATAAACCTAGCAGTGAGAGCAAGATGAAAAGTAAATTAGGGAAAAGGAAGTGTACTGCATAAGGAAGGACATATAGAGTTAGGAGAGAATACCGCACACTCATCAATGAACTGATGCATACTCACAGGATTCATAAGCTCCGTAGAGAGCCCCAGATACTGGTGAAGTGCTGTAAACGTCACCCTTTGCAATCGAACCATAATGACTTGAACTACTCTGATAAAAATATCAGGGTATTCTTGAAAAACTTCCTGGAATGCTGCCATTGGAAGTCGGACCACTGTTGAGTCTTCTATAGCCCGAGCACACACAGTTTTGTATGGATTGGTATGTCCCTATAATTTATTCACATAATTTAACAAATTCAATTTTCACAGGCAACCAAATAAGATATTCCCTGGAATGGACACATTCTAATAAATATTGAAGGAAGCTAAGTTACACTTCATATATTAAATCCTCTTCTTTCAAAAGGAACAACTTTCTTGAAAGCAACTCATTAAGTGATGATCTACAGAGCAGAAACTAATTTCCCTCTTACACATAGTGACCATAAGTAGAAGTACAGTGATCTGTGGTAACAGTTGCTGTACTTTCATACATATTTCTAAATGACGGTAGATACACAGTGCACATGTATGTACATATCTATTATGGTAATGCTGAAAACTATTTGGAAGTAATTATGGTGAAGATGGAAGTAATGATGGTGAACAGGATATTGTGAGACAATGGTTGCAAAATATTTTCTAATGATCCAAGTACAGTAAGCATCAAATAAGATGGTACAAAGGCAGACACTACACAAGGGGTAGAAGAGATGGTGGGAAAGGCTGGAAACAGACAGATGGCTTAGCATGTATTTTCTAACACGAAAACCCTTTATTCATATAAAAAAAGAGTATCCATTTCTCATGTATATTAATCTGAAAAAATGTTACCTGTCCAAAGAACACTTAAAAATTTCAAAGGCTTTACCACTTGTTACCACAATATATCAAAAACATGATTTACATTACCACATACAACAACACTTTTCTTATTGCAAAATTCAGTTTTTACACAGAACTCTGAATTTTTTATTATGTTACATGCAAGTTCTCTAAACAGAAGTACAGAACATGAGTGAATGCAAACTACTGCCTATTATATAATAAAACACAACTTTCCTGTTTCTTCTTTTTCCCGCTGTGGACCTAATAGAGAATACCCAAGACACTATGTAACTTACCTCATATATCTGTCAATTTATATGGCAGGCACGGCTGTCAAAGCAATGTGTTAAGTATTGCAGTGGTGTTTTAATGCAATTTTAATCCTCATATATAACTGTTTTCTTTCTTCAATAGCAGAAGTAAACTTTTATTTCATAATTTCTGTGTCATTATTTCTTTAATGTTTAAGTTACTATATACTGAGAAATCCCTATTTAATGAATGTATGTTTTTTCTTGCACTATATAGGAGTTACGCAAAAATTAACTATTAATTCTAATTCTAATTTGTTTGCTAATTATAAGCTTCTTCCTTTTCATAGACATCATAATTGACAACAAACAAAACAAATAATATTGCCAAAATTCAAAACTTATGCACATCACTCATCAAAAATTATACCTGAGAGTGAAGACTGGCAGTAAAGAGAAACTGTGAGTTATCAGCTGTCACTTCAAACATGATCATATTGAATCAACATTTGAATATTCAACACTGCTTACATTAAATGTGGGTTATTTACTAAATATAGGGGGGTAAAATAACAGTTGGTATGGGACTTTGGCAGGAACAAGCAACATTCACTATGGGATTTCACTTAAATGCAGGTACACCAAACTGTGTTTCCAATGTACTGTGACAGCGGCAAGAGAAATGGGTATTTTTCTTGATATGTTATAAAAAAGGTAACCTGTTTGACAGTTCAACTTATGGCCTTTTACGCATGAAGCTATCAAGGTAGCATGATGACAATATACTCATAATTAGACAGCCATCAAGTGTGAAAGGTTTCATATAATTTAACTATACGTGGTACAGTCATTAAGTTCGTGGACTGTGGTTTTATCACTTTACATTACAAGGTATTCACACACACTTACACAGATCCACATCAGAACTCAAGATAGTTGCTACTGGTCACTATAAAAGTCTGCCAACGTTGATATGGCTGCCAAAAACATTTCTGAAACATATTGGCAGGAAATTCCCATATGGCGCCTCGTGGCATTGACGACCTCCTCGGATGACTGAAATCTATGACCACGTAGCTTTGGTCTCAAGCGGTGAAAGAGAAAGAAATCGCAGGGTGCGAGATCAGGTGAGTCCGCAGGGTGTGGCAAAACGGTGACCTGTTGCCTTGTCAGTTCCTCTTGCACAAGAACAGAGCGATGTGCAGGGGCGTTGTCGTGTAGCAACAGCCAATTCTTTCTACGCCAAACGTTTCACTAGGGGATATGCCTAGTTTTTGGCAGAACTTGATGTCTGCCCATTATTCAAACTGCCACATTTTCAATTTCCGCCACTTGCATTTAACTGCAGTTCAAAATAGAGGCCATAGTTCTGCTTACACTGTTTGCACACAACTTCCTCTTGCTGTGATGAGAGATGAATTGACAGGTCATCATATCGTGCCTCAACCTATCCGCTGTAGTGCACTGCAACAACGCTTTGCGGCCAGTCCGCAAACTTACTGACTATGGTAGTACATTGTGGTGATGCAACCATGGTAGCTCAGTGTGTAAAACGACTACAAAATTCTTGCATCTATTTGGCAGTGAAGTTGCGAACACATTAAAATACAGAATTTCATGTCTCCCACTCACACAATATACAAAACTTGCAAATCTACATGGCTGTAGGTACAAAGTACTGCCTGTCTGTCAGCCTATCACAGTTAATTAATTTATACAAAAGCAGGAACAATATATCAGTACCCTGATACTGCAGACCTCACTAGTAATTAATACTAAGACAAAAAGTCCTAAAACACAGTGTTTCATGTGCACCACAGCTACCAGAACTGAAAATGCTATTAATATACCAGTAAGTTTATGGGATTACATAATTAAATATGACACTGTACAAGTGAAAATGCAGGCCTATGTTGACAATGTACATTTCCTGTAATAATAATAATGACAAAACTAAAGCAATCTCAGTGAAAGCATTATAACCAACACTCAAATGTGTTGGTCTTTGTTATGGTAATTATTATATAGTTCAATGGAATAATCAGATATTTAAAAGATAATTTTAACTGAAGCATGAAGTTCCAACATATAATTTCATTCCCTAACCTTGAATGAATCTCAACTGAAATAACATAGAGAAATATATTTCCCTCATCACAGTACCACTTACCACAAGCACTTTTTTAAAACAAACCTTATATATGACATATACAATACTTATAGCCCTAGCTTATCATTTTAAAAAATCCTTTTCACATAGGAAAGAATGTCCTAGCTCTTCTTAGGAATGGTTACCTCTAGTCACTTTAACTTACCGTCAGTACATCTGTGAAGCTAAGAAGTGACGTGACTGATTCGCCTGTCTTCACACATTTCAAAGAAATAGTGGTACCATCTGATCCAGTAATGAACACATTAACTTTGCCATTCTGAATCACATACACATTCTCATCTGGATCACCTAGAAATAAAAAAAAAAATCATTAATACTTTGTAATTTAACTGAATCATTTGAGATACGAGGTTCTCACTGAAGTAACTAAGAGGATTACTGTGTTCTGTGATGCCATGAAGTCTCGACTAACAAGACATTAGTAACAACTGACAAAACTACACGGCATCACATCCGTGAATATAATAATCTTAATTTAGTCAATATATTGGAAAAGACAGCTTGTCCAGGTTTCAAACACTGGACATGTTCTCCTTTCAATCTAATTTTCAACTTATAACCACTCTTACAACAAGGTCCTGTAGTATGTCAAATTTACGTCTGCAGTTACAAATTGATCTTTAGTAACAGAGCAGAATTAAAAAAAAATAAATAAATAAAGGTGTACTCCAAACTGAGTTCACATATTTTCCAGACATTCTTTACAATTTCACATACCTCATTGACTGCAGTGTTAATTTGTTACTAACACACAGAATAAAATGTACAACCTCACTAATTGAAATCAAGTATAGAATATCTCTCTAAAGCAATCTAAACTCCTTATTTCAATGGTCTTGTTTATTTGTCTTATATTGCTGTATCCTATCACAATTCATACAACACATAATTTAAATCACGAAAGCAAAATATGTACATGCTGATGCAAAATATGTTTCCATATTTTTTACATAAAATTTGCTTCAAATATCAAGTCAGTAACTACTTACTTGCAAGTCCCTTCTGTATTGTAAATATGTATTCTTCCCCCAGACAGGAAGAAAAAAATTAAAATTACAGCCCATTACATTAGGTTACATACACATATCTATTCTCAGAAAATTGTTCACCATAAAGGTAAAGCTGTCCTTGTGCTTAATTAATTAAACACCACATCATGAAGGCATACTAGGGAGTGGAGGTATAGCTCCACCATTCTTGAACTTGGCATTATATGGAGATGAGTGGCCAGCTTCATGTCCCAGCCACATTACACCCGGGAACACAGCCTTAATGTCTAAAAGGAGGTACATGAGCCCCAGAGCCAGTCTGGATGCTGCAGAATAGAGAAAAATCTCTTACCCTTGCCAAGAATTGAACCCCATCCAACCAGCACGCAGCCTGTCATGATAGCAAAATTAACAGGGTTCTCCCTGCATACCTACAGATATCTAAGCATAATAATATACACTTTTCTTTCAAAAATGAACTCTGACCTGATTTCTTCAGAGCATAAATCTTATGTTTCAAATGTTTAGCAAAAAAAAAAAAAAAAAAGGTTGTGACATATATATATATATATAAATCAAAGGGGTAAAGTCCTTAACAAGCAGCTGACAGTCACTCAACTGGTCATGAAATTTACACCTTTTATAGGATCCAATATTCATTACCATATGCACAGCAGTTCGTCACTGGACCTTAGACTCTGTTTTAAGAGGTTATCAGCCCCCTAAACCAAATAACAAGATGGAGAGCAACACCTGTCTGATGTTGACTGCTTATTCAAAGTGTTCACAGCTACCATCTCTATATGAAGGCTGTCTTCACCGTCCCTAACTTGAAGACATGTAAAGTTTCATAGACATGGGCAAATATATCTCAAAGCTCATACATAATGTGATGTCAGATTATAAAAGAAAAAATTCAATACATGCAGTTGAAAAAAAATTGTCAAATACTCAAAGAATTAAGGACAGATATAAACACACTTGAAAGAAAGCAGTCTTCTGGGATGTGCTCACAGAGTACTCTGTGAGCACTTGCTCACGCCAGTTCCTCACTTCCAGAGTTTCTTCTTTTTTTTTCTTCTACCCTGAAGATGGAGGCAATACGTTCCTCCAAAACATCAGTTAACACAATATCTACACGGCGCCACATCCTAGAAGACTGCTTTCTTCATAGTCACTGCCGTGAAAACATCAAATCTTACATAAACACACTTGTTTACAATCAAATAATAAAAGTGGTCCTTGTACTTAACTAATTGAGCACTATGCCATGAAGGCGTGCGGAGGAGTGAATGTATAGACCCACATTTTTTGACGTCAGTACTAGCTGGAGGTGGGCGGTCAGCTTCATGACCCTGCCGCTTTACCCCTTCCCCCCCCAGCACCCATTGGATAGGAGGGTTGGGTGGACCCCAGAACAGGTCTGGACAACGTGGAGGACAGAAAATTCTTGACCCTACCAGGACTTGAACTCTGACCCCTCAGTCATCCAGCCCGAAGCCAGTTGCTATACCAACTATGCTATCAGTTTTGTATAACCTACCAATTTTAAACAGGTATGATCCTGCAGGCAAATTCATTATTTCTGTATGCTTGCAGAGTTTCAGGAACACTGGTTTCTCAAAATGGCCAAACACCCTGAAAATGAAACTTCAAAAGAATTAACTTATTAATTGTCATAATGGAACTTCAAAATTATAACATGATAAAAATGTTTCCAAAAGTACACCTTCTAACATACCAACAAACATTACTACCAACATGAAATTAACATGACCTACATCCAAACCACTCTTGAATTCCAAATTTAATTGCTTCATAACCACCGAGACCTATATTCATATAACATTACTGACTGAGAATGATCTGAGGTATGAGCTCCTGAGGCTAAAACATAATGCTATTAATCCTTTATTATAAGAGTCTTGAAAGAATGTAGACATATTAAATCACAGTTATCTATTCCTTTCTGCATATTTATTTAAAATGTACTAATCTGTTTCATTTGGTACCTATATATACTCTCAAGAACAGAAGAAAAAGCAAATAAACGCCAATAATCCAGTCCATTAAAATCAAATAAAAATTATGAAGTAAAAATATCAATTTCTTTACAGCCTCATCTCAAAATATCTTAAAAAGTTAAGTGACTTTGTGAGGAAACAATTATTTACAAAAGAATGCATATGAACATATATAACACAAATAAAATGATAGTTTACTTTGACAGCCCCATGAACATAAAGGCATATGACACACCAAAAGTTGAGCCCCTCTGTTCCTGTCTCAAAATTCTTGTCACATTTGTATAAGCATTGCAGAACTCCGATCTTCACCTCACTACAAAAGTGGTATTTTTCACAATTGTCCTTAAAAGTTATTTCTTTTGTCAGTTCTTAAAACTTCTGTCTTCTCAGGAAATAAAGTGACAGCTGTCATATATGTTGGTTGCCCTCTTGGAACCAAACACAAATTCTGCAGAAAAGTGGCAATCCTTTGGTATATGACTTATGACACACGATTATGTGACTGCTTTAACAGCTTGTGTTTCAAAGCAACAAACCTAACCTCCTCAATCGCTTAAAACCCACTGATATCATTCTCGTTCATATTAACAACCATAAACCCCATAAATCTGAGTACATGTCTTAAAAGAATATGAATGTAAAGCATTTTCTTAAAATGTAAAAACCGAAGACATGACAACAAGGTGTTGAGCATTTACCTGATCTTTTTGTGGGTACAGCACTCTGAAGTCTCTGTACAATTCATTTCATCTTCACTCATCTGCATATAACTCAGAAAAAATATCTACTACAACATTCCTACATTAAACCATGTTTAATACTGATGAAAGTCAAAAAGAAAACAAGGCATATAGCAGCTGATTCAGTGGCAATACTGCTTCGAACAGTTACTGTATCTAGGAGGGACAGATTCAAGTGACATTTGAGGATCTCAGAGGGGACTACAAAGACTATGGTCTTCTTAGATGTGACACCATGCAGTTCTGTGAACAGGCACCAACTTTTCAGAGGAACCTTTTGCCTCCATCTTGAGACCGACCTAAAGATGCAGACAGCAGGTTCCTCTAGAGATCCTAGTGTCTATCTACAAGGCATCACAAATATCGAGATTGTAGTCTGGCTAATTCTAATTTGGAGGCAAATACCCTGCATCAGGCAACTACTGGGTCTAACCTTGAGACAGTGAACAAGCAAGATCATCTTCCATGTGCCTGAGACAATGACAAAGTACATGAACTGTCAGCAATAAATATATGAGACAGAAACCACAGCTTTCTAGGTGATCCATATGCGATGTGTTAAAACAGGCCAAGATCACTTCATTTCAGATCTCTTCAAATTTTCTCATATCATAATCCCATACCCCACCTGATGCTACATAGTCTGAGAAACTGATCCAGCATTGTAAAACAACCAAATTACTTACTTCATCCATGATATGTATGCCGTGTCTGTCTTGTAGTGCACTCAATTTTACCTGTTATTTCACAACATGTTACATGAGTAAGTAATTACTTACTTACTTACTTACTTACTCATGGGGCTGAGCCCTTCTGGAGGAGCTGCCAATTCTGCAGCTACTCAAGAATTTTCCAGCATATTGTGGAACCTGAAGGTTCATCACCATGTTCACAAGAGCCCTCCACTGGTACCTAACCTGAGCCACATCCATCCAATCCATACCATCCCATCCTATCTCTCTAAGATCCATTCTAATATTGTCCACCCACCTTCACCTTGGTCTTCCCTGTGGTCTTTCTTTCTGGCTTTCCCACCAATATCCTATACGTATTTGTCTCTCCCATTCATGTTACATGACCTGCCCACCTCATCCTCCTTGACTTGATCATTCTAATTATACATGGAGAAGAGTACAAGTTATGAAGCTCCTCATAATGCAGTCTTCTCCAACCTCCTGTCACTTCATCCATCTTTGATCCAAATATTCTGCCCAGTACCCTGTTCTCAAACACCCTCAGTCTATGTTCCTCCCTTGATGTCAGAGACCAAGTTTCACATGCATACAGAACCACAGGCAAATTTTTTGTTTTGTAAAAACAACCAAATGATATACAAAAATAACAGAACACATCAATCACATGATTTCCATAAGAAACAAGGATAAACAGTTCCAAAAATTATGCAACAGTTGGGTCATACCACAACCCCAGTGGTTAGTTGCTGGCTTCCTACTGCAGTAGCCTGGGTTTGATCCCAGGTCAGGTCATGCAGGATTTGTGGTGAACAAAGTGGCACTAGGGCAGGTTTTCTCCGAGTACTTCAGTTTCCCCTGGCAATTCTCTTTCCACCACATGCTCCATGCTCATCTATCAATTGGGGATGGTGCAATAAGCCAATTGGAGGCCAGCATACCAAGTATACTCAGCCTCATTCCACCCCATGAAATTAAAAAGTAGGCAATAGTTCCAAAATTTCGTCCATCCATCTTGTACAGCATATTATTTAAAATGAATAGAAAACAGTACACCAATCCTTTCCTTCTGACCAAGCTACGACCAAGTTCCCACTAAGGACAATATTATAAAGTATTTAGTATAATACCTGATGCTCTGCAGCATATAAAGAGCATCAGGAGGAACCCTCTGGTCATCTTTACTTGTAACATCTTCTTCTAGGTACTCTGCTGGGGGTTCCAGTACCTGAAATATAATAAATTGTAACTGTTTTAGAGAGGTAAATGCTGATAACACAAAGTCAGTACATGGGTTTTATACTGAAACTACTATTTCACTTCATTCATTACATTAATAACTCTAATGAAACAGCAATCTCACAAGCTCTGGCAGACTACAGGCCAAAAATATCCCAGAGTCTCTGATACCACACTAGGCACATGAATGCCGGTGGTAGGAGTTTCTGACATGGACAATGGCTCTCTTTTATATGTTACTTGTTTTTAACAGATTAAGGGCAGTACAGCAGATTCCTATTTCTGTGGTTCCTGCGCTGGCCACTCAGAGCAAAGGGAGCTCTTCTTTCAGGATTTAAGTTTCTGAACTTTGTCCATCATTCAGTATTCTGAAAGAACACATCATTTCCATCTTCAAGTGAAAGAGTGGAAAAGCACCTCTGGGTCCGTTGTGTGGAGCTATTTCAATCACTGGGCCAAGGTCTAGTATATGCCTCTTTCTCTTTTCACCTGAGAACAGAAACAGCTCTAGCTTCTGAAACATTGTCTTCTTTCAGAATACTAGACAATGGACAATGTATAGAAGCACAATAATAATATAATAATAGTATAATACACCACTATTCGAACTCTTCAAAATAAATTCTTCCTTATACCATGTCATATTTGAAAGCTTACCGTCTGTTTATTTCTTTGAAGATGTCACTGACTGATGAAATGTTATGAATAAAAAAATGGTCTCAACAAGCTGAACAGGAACAAAAGAAAAAAATTTTTAAGAGACAAGTTTGATCAACCTTCTGAAAAACAGTGTTGGTACGAAGGCAGATCTCTATAAAAAGAATAATTTCTCATTAAACATCAGCCCTTTCAACACTATTAGGCATGTTACAAGATGAGAGATGATATTTTGAACAAAATCTACCAGACAGATTATGTGTGTTAGTTCAAAGAATACACATTTCAGTGTGTACTGCAATAAAGTAGCCAATGCTAGCAGAAAGCCTCCAATCTACACAGTGTGGAAGTACTGACATGCCACCAATGTCACAGGACTGAGCATAGTTCATTAACCTCTTTCAGTTAGGAATTATGACAACTATTTGGATGAACTTCATTCATGACGACTACGATCATATTTTAGGCAATATACATTCCTTGCAGGATGGAAGCAATGAAAATGCACAAAATGCTACTGGACCACTTAAAGCCCAACATTTATCTCACTCTGACTCGACTTAAACATTGATGACACCTAATAAATAATGATTCAAAAGCTCTTAGTACTTCTATGCCTATATAAAATGTATCATTATCTGCAGGAAGTAACTGACACATGTCAGTAAAAAAACATTTCTCACCGTAAGTTGTACAGGCGTTGAATCCTTTTTAAGTTGCAACAATCTTCTCGCAAACCTCATAACCATTTTACGTTTTTTGCCTTGAACCCCATGAACTTGGCCTGATATTGATTTCACCTAAAATAAAATTTCATAAAATAATGAAGACACAACCTGCCAAAATTTTAATTTCTAAATTAATGCAATTTTAAGACTTAAACAAGGACTGCTGGGCAGAACTCACACAGACTGCTGCGAAGACTTCCAGTCCTTTAACTCTTGCATTTCTGTTACATTTAGGTACAATAATATAAGTTAATCCATTGATAAAATAGAAGTTAGCTTGTTCATTAGCATGCTGAGCTTGTGAACATTCACAGGATCAAATTCTACTCAAGTCAATATTTGTTAATTCTTGCAAATATAAACATGCTACATACAGATTATCGTCATTACCAACACCGTTGTTATTATTATTACAATAATCAACAACAACCCTCTTTTATGAACTGTGACTTACATCATTACAATAAATTTGTCAGATAACCTCACAGCATTGCCATGCTGATAAATACTGAATAGTTTCACCTTAATTAAACTTGCATATTTTTTTATGATGCACTACCATACAGAACGCTTTAACAAGTAGCAACAGCCATGCTCATCTGAGTGTTTATACAGTCACCATGTTTTTTTATTAATGTGGTGGCACCCACACGCTATGGGCCTACTGGAAAGTGCCATGTGTAGGAAATGTGGGCAGGAGAAGGAAACCTACCACATTCTTTGGCAATGTTCAGCTTCAGCTAAGCACTGAATACAGATCTTTGGTTCTGCCTGATTAGAGCCAACAGACATCAAGAAGGTTTCAATCAAGATGGTTATGGTTCTGGCTCTAGCATTACAGTCAAGGTTCTCTGAAGGGTCCTAATAAGAGTAGGACCCATCAATGGTCTGAGTGCTTGAGGTAACTAAAACACTCGTCTCTCATACATACATACATATACATTTGCGTTTCAGATTATTCACAAATGTGCACAGGCACAGAATATAAAACATGTCAACAAGCCAACAAGACATTGGAAGCATGTACATTCACAAACAAAATCACTAGCATATATAATCCATACTTGTCAAAAAAAACACATAAAATTGTTAAAAGGAAATACAGATTGCAGCAAATACACATACAATAGTTAAAAAGCAATACAAATTGCAACAAGTACACATACAATAGTTAAAAAGCAATACAAATTGCAACAAGTACACATACAATAGTTAAAAAGCAATACAAATTGCAGCAAGAATATGTGAGCACAGCCAAGGACATAGAGTTAAATGAAGTGTACACTGTCAGACACCTCTTGACAGGTCTTGACAGAAAAGCAGGAATTCCTCAACAGTATAAGAAGGGTTTTGAAGCAATACATCCTTTAGTTTCTCAATAAACTGTTTTTTGTCATGTACCAACTCAATTAAAAAATCAGGCAAACTATTAAAAACTTTTACACTCATACAATAGACCCCTTTTTGCCTCTTTGTTAGATGCGATTGAGGAACATGAAGGTTTCTAACTTGTCTTGTTGATTTACCATGAATTGTATGATTAAAAGTATAATGCCCCAGATTGTTTACCATTAGTATCATTAAAGATAAAATATATTGAGAAGCCAATGTCAAAATTTTTAATTTTTTAAAAACTGTTCTACATGATTCTCTGGGTTTCATTCCCAACATTATCCTGATGGCCCTTTTTTGTAAAAGAAAAATCTTCTTAGCCTCCCACGAGTTTCCCCAAAATACTATCCCATATCTCATAATTGAATGAAAGTATGCATGGTAAATCATCTTTAGTGTTTCAATATTGCTATACAATTTCATGTTTCTTATTGCAAAGCATGCCTTGCCCAATCTGGACAGCATCGATTCAATCTGTGACTTCCAATTCAGGGTCTTATCAATTTCAATGCCCAAGAATTTAACGTGGGTTTCCTGATGCAATATCTCATCATTAAACTTTAAATGTATAGACATATTATCTCGATTAGTTGTATCAAATTTTACCACTTTAGTTTTCTTCAGATTTAGAGACAGGCCATTAACTGCAAACCAACGGCTTAAAGAATTCAACACTAAGTTAGACCTTACTTGGATTTCATCAATATCAATACCAGACACTACTATGCTTGTATCGTCTGCATACAACAATAACCTATCATCAGTATTTAATGCTGATGACAGGTCATTGATATATAAAAGAAACAGCAAGGGACCCAAAATCGAGCCCTGCGGCACTCCATATTCAACAATCTCCCATCCTGAACAACATTTTTCATTCCCATTAGTATACAATTCCACTCTTTGCCTTCTATTTCCCAAATATGATTTCAACCATCTTAAAGTTTTACCACCAAGTCCATATACAGCCAACTTGCTCAAAAGGAGTCTTAAGTCAATGCTAATACCAGTATCCTTGAATGAGGAAAATTCACTAACCAGTGACTGTGTGTGACTATCAGCTTCTCAAGAAGATCTCTGCTCAATGGAATAAGTATGTAAGCATACAAATGAAATTTTGTATTGCATTTTGACTATGCCATTCACTTTCTCTGTAGCTTGGTTCATACTGATGTTTATGTGGCAGAGTGTATGGTGGTTAATTTCCCAGTATGGCTTTCATTTTTAGACCTGAACTTAACTTGGTCAGTTTAGTCACACACACAATTGTTATTAATGCAAATGACATCTTACTACATACATACTGTTTTAGGGTACACTTCGGATCATGTGACATGTCAAGTATCACTCATTTAATAATTTGGATCCTTACAATTACAGTTTCCATGATGTGAAGAATGTATAAAGAATCAACAAGATTATCATGAATCTCAAAACATGGTAAAAACAGAACACAGGAATGCAGATCATGTTTGATTACTTGGTTACCATACTGTGAAGCTGTTCCTCAGCTTATATTGCACAACACTGCAAAATGGTATTGAGAGGGAGGGTTATAACTTGTGTTGGTACATACAAAATGTAAATTTTCCCTGTGTGTAATTATTTACGCACTATGTCAGGAAGACATGTGGGGGAGCGGAGATATAGGTCAACCATTCTTCACCTCAGTACTACATGAAGGTGAGGTCAGTTTCACATCAGGGAAAGATCCCCCAGTACATAAATAAAGCATTTAAGCAGTACATACGCCTGTTTTTCAAGTTACATCAATTTTGTTGGCCAAACAAAAAAAACACACATAATAGCTTGGCTGATAAAATTTTTGGATATTTTTCAAAAGTTGGTACACATACCTTCCGTAGCATTTTACGGCCATAGAACAGAACTTTATCCCTTTTTCTAAAGCGAGGTCTTGTTGATCCAACACCTACAAATTCTTTTACTTCTGGCAAGAATTCTACAATAATAAAGAAACAATACCATAATTATTACATTTTTTTTATTGCTAGTGAGGTGGGACTAAGTCCCTTGTACTGCAGTCACTTCTGGCCTATTGTACCAGCCCCACATGATAGGTGAGGGTGACTGTGGGGCAATTGGTGGAGTGAAGATTGGCAGGGGAAACTGAAGTACTCAGAGAATACCTGCCCCAGTGCCGCTTTGTCCACCACAAATCCCACTTGACCAGACCCGAGATCGAACCCAGGCCGCCGCAACGGGAAGCCAGTGACTAACCACTTGGGCTATGGCGCGGCCTTAATTATTACATTACTCATATGCTATATCATAAAGTAATCCAGAAGAAAGTTGCATGCCAGCAGAGGAGCCACTGTTTTCTAACTATATGACCATGAAATCATGCTTGGATATGGTTCTTAAGAACTGGACCTTTGTACTTTGAAAATCTTCCAGCATGCCTAAGTTACTTGACATCTTACAGTTTTGAATATGTAAGTACCTAACAGCAGTTATGGTAACATCAGATTATGGAATCAATTTTCACTACCACATATCAGAATTGTGTACATATAGCCTTGGAAATGTGGCAATGAGTACAAATTTTTCATTAGTGTTCCATACAAATGCAATAAAACTGAGAAAATCACTCAAGCACTTGTTTATTTTTATTATATCATAGAAAAATTTATAAGAGATCCTAAATTCTTTTCTGTACCGTGCATATAAAACCTGATACAGCCTTGCATATACACATATGAATGATTATCTATACCAGTAACATGTGAAGACTTGCCTTTGTTTTTCCATTTTCGAGCAAGCACCAATGTACAGCCAATGACAACCGTTAAAAACAAGCCAATTATTAATAGGTATATGCCCTGTAAACAAATACATGAAAAACAAACACAATGTTCAGTACATACACACACCTATCTACTCTAATCTGTTCTATTCTATACTTGTCACATACGCTTGACTAGTCTCACTGCTATATTTCTTTCTGAATATTCCAAATGACACTTCATAAGGCTGACAAATTAGAGCAGTGTTTCTACATATCAAAACACTGAAAATATGACACCTCAGGTTCACAAAATGTTCAATGGGTTACTGAGTGTAGTAAATAAATCTACCTGATTGTCTTGCAAGTTTACAACAAAGTTTCCGAGCCATGTCGATAATACAAGAGATCCAATTGTGTCATTTACATGACTTAGCATCTTTACAACTTCCATTGTTACTTCTGAAGCCGTACTCCGACCTTTTCTTTACTCTACCACAACCCACTCCCAATAACTGATAAAACCGACAAGGCAGACGACAGATTACATTAGGTACTTGAGAGCCTTGAGAGCTCGAGAACCGTCAAAAGGTCAAAAGCAACAAAACCGTAAAGCTCACACACACCAGAGGCACCAGAGCGATCGCGATGATCGCGATGGCGGTGGAGGGCGCAATGGCAGTGGCGGTCACCGGCGTAAACGATGCATCGATTCTGTCATCCGGAAGAAGCGTTGATTTTGGCAGCGGTAGTTCATGAGCTTCATGAGGAGCAGGGGGAAGCAAGGTAAATATTCCTTTTATTGTGTACAATTATTACAAATATTAACATCACAATTAATATATTTTTCAGAGAGAAGCGTAAGAAAACGCGAATTCACGACCATAATCTGCTTCGTCAACATGAAGGAGAATTTCATACTTTATAACGGCAACTGCAACAACATGAAGAACGATTCTGTGTTTACTGTCGGATGCCAATTGAATGCTTTGATGATCTACTGGAACTAATTAAGGGAGATATTATTTAATTTTACTTCAGTAAGTTGCTGTGTTGTACCCATTGTTCATGCTAACACAGTGATGCGGGCATTCATCTACAGAAAAAGCATCTTTCAAATTAGTAGAAGAATACCAAAAGCAAATATTTTGCGACTTACACAAAGCCTTTGATTGAGTCAATCATGATATACTTACCAAAAAATTATGGAGTTTTATGGAATAACTGGCAAGTTTGGTGCCTTAATTAAATCTTACCTGAATGGAAGATATCAAAGAGTAACCCTTGGCCCTAACAGTTCTTTTAATAGCTCATCTAGTTGGGCAGAAGTACAATTTGGTGTACCCCAAGGTTCAGTTCTTGGCCCACTTATTTTCCTCTTGTATACAAATGATATAACTAAGGTTTCAATTAATGGAACAAACATATTCTTATATGCAGACGATACAAGTATAATAGTGACTAATCCAGAATACGCTGACTACAAATCAACCATGACCAGAATATTTTGCAATATTAATAAATGGTTCAGAACCAATCTGTTAAAATTAAATATTCATAAAACCCACACTCTCCAGTTCACTTAAATGAACTATGAGGATCATAATATGCATAATAATATTGATCAAAATTTACCGACTAACTTAGAGTGTATCAAATTTTTAGGCCTAAATATTGATAATAGGCTGTGTTGGAAGAATCATATTTATTACCTTGTTACTAAATTGAGTTCGTGTTGCTGGTTAAACCTATGATATCGTAGGTAGCTTAAGAATGATTTTATTTGCTTATCTACATTCTGTGATGACATATGGAATTATCTTCTGGGGCAGTTCTTCATGCAGGACAAAACTTTTTATGATCCAAAAGAAAGTTATAAGGATTATGCTTGGATTAAAGAAAAGAGATTCATGTAGAGACTCTTTCAAGGAAATGAAAATTCTGCCTTTGTGTTCTCACTACATATATTCCTTGATGCAACACACTATAAATAATATATATCTGTTTACAAGAAATACATAAGTACATAATATTGATACCAGACAGAATGTTAACATATTTCCACCGAGTACTTCTCTTACTAAAGTTCAAAAGGGTGCACATTATTCGGGTATAAAATCTACAATCATCTGCCTAAAGAGCTCAATTATCTAATAACCAGAAATCCTTTGAGCGTTCCTTAAAAAGATTTTTACATGCTAACTCTCTTTATGCATTAAATGAGTATTTTAATTACAAATGTACATAAATTTGAATGTTTTAACACTGTATTTTAATATAGTTGGTATGGGAGATGTGAGAGGTTGTATTGTGGTTACTTGTGAATTATGTCTGTTAATCAGTATATTATCTTTTTGCCTCGTATTGTTGTATGTGTTAGATAGTTAATGTGGGTGATCTTCATTGTGTGACTTTGTGTATGTGTTTGGTGACAATTTCCACATCCTGGGTGTTGCCTGTATGGATGTTTATGGAAAGTGGAGGATATGTATGTATGTATATGATGAGTCCTGTATCAATGTGTTTTGATTTATGGGAAAATGAAAGAAAGAATGAAAGATAATTGGTCATAAGTGTGTAAATTTATAACGCATTTAATTCAGTTAATTTGGGTAATCTGAATGAAATTGTATTAATTTTAAGTTTTTATAGTAATGTTCTTTTTAAATTACGTTTATTAATTATAAGTTTTTTATTCTACTCGTATTATCTATGTTAATTGACTAATGTATGTGATTTTAATTATATAACTTATGCAATTTATTATATGTATCTGGACACATCTATTATCAAAGGGGCCATTTCCACATCCTAGGTTTTTACCTGTATGGATATATGGAAAATAAAGGAAATGAATGAATGAGTAGAACGCTACATGCCTTCAACTACCCATCTGACAACATGGCTGCCTATAAATAAACAAATTAGCTCCACACTAGCCCTACAGCGCCATAGTAGTTAAAACTGCTGTTTCATTTTATTGTAATTTCTTCCTGACTGAAATTTTGATTTGTTAACTGTACTCAAATATCTGAATTGTGCCAATTTTTCAAAGAATCTGTTGGCTATCTTACTAGCATCATTGTACAAACCTCACTGCTAAATTTTAGTGTGGAACCTCGCTTAACGAGCATAATTCGTTCCAGAATCATACTCATAATGCGAAACAATTTTTCCCATACAAATTAATGTAAAATACGATAATGCGTTCCATGCCAAAATCAATACTCAAAAAATTTTATGTATGTTTATTCAAAGAAAATTATATATGCACTGTTAAGGAGCATGAATTATCTTAATCTTTTCTTCTGTGCAGAATGAACCAACCTGGAATGCAAATTCGATTTGCAGAAAACAAAACAAAAAAATCGAAATAATTAGTTTATTATTTATGATGCATATCTTATTCTTTTTTACTAGAAAGCTGTCTAGAGACATTTGTTTTTGCTGACGCTTCAAAATTTGGTGAAAATGCGACACAGCATTATCATTAAATAAATTTGTAGTGCGCATGGCCACTGCCTTATTAGGGTGATGCTTCTCAATGTATGATGCAGCAGTTTCCCATGCTTTCAGCATTTCTCTTATTGTGCCAGAAGATTGTTGCTTTGCTGTTACCTCCTCCTCTGACAAACTCTCCTCCACAACTTCTTGCTGTGAAACACAATGCAATATAATCGTTGATGTAAACCGATTGTATGTGCATGCTAGAACAGCCACGCTCACACCTCGTTCTCGCTTTTCAGTGATATTTTCATTTCTACGGTTATTTTTATCCTCTTATGGCTGTCTTTTTCTTTGGAGACATTTTTGCAAGGGTTATTAAATTTTGCACAAAAAAAATCACAAATTGTCTGAACACAAGTTTGGAAAAATGTGTGATCACAAGCGACACTAATATGCTAGCGGAACGAGTTCTAAACACAGACTGATGTAGCAAGTGCACAATCCAGGACTTCCCCTATCATCACCCGTTATGCGAGTCATTTTTTTTACAATTTGTTTTGCTCGTTAAGCGAGGTTCCATAGCCTGTAAACTCTGATGGGATAATTCACTTTGCGTGTCGCACGAAAAATAAGCAGCATGAAAACTCATGTATCTATGTCAAAACAAATACTGTATTTACGCATGTATAGGCCACAGCACAATTTTCAGACAGAAATTATAGAAAAAATAATTTTCTTGGAATATTATTTCAGGAGTATTACACCCTGTATTACTACTTATGAATATAATTTTTTTTTAAATGAGGTGTGATTTCAAATATTTTGAACATAAGTCGCACCCCAGTTTTCCTCTTGAATTTTTGGCAAAAAATGTGCGGCCTATACATGTGTAAATACGGTATAGAAGCAAAGCCTTATAACTTGAATCAGGAAGAACACTTTGAGGCTAGTATAATCGACCTTATCCAGTTTAATACAATTATTATCTGTGTATATAGAACTTTAAACAGTAATATTAATTTATTGAAATAATGGGCACAATAATTAGTAATTTAATACACAAGAGCATCATTATCGTAGGTGATCTCAACATAGCTTTCCTAGGAAGAAGAGTAAATCTACAACTACAGACAATGTTAAACTCATATATGGCTTGCAAGCAGTAGTTTAATTTTTTTTTATGTCCCAACGAGAATAGGACTTAGAAGTTAAACAGCAATAGATCAAATAATATTCAACAAGGGCTTATGGGGAAACAATCTTGTGACTGAAACAGGATTTTCTGACCATAAAGCACAGATACTACAAATACAGATGCAGTATAAAAATAAAAAGGGGCAAGTTAGACTAAAGGAAGAATTCAGAATAGCTAGATCTTACAGGGAAGAGAATATACAATACCTAAACTGTCTACTAGAAAAAGAGACTTGGGAGCTTGTTTTCAGGAAAAATTCTGCAAACAAGGCATACAGTGAATTTTTAGGTACTTTACAGTATTATTATAATATAGCTATGCCTAAAAAACGTGTAAAAACTAAACAGCAGGAAAATAAATGGCTTACCTCAGGAATAAGGGTATCGGGGAATAGACTTGGGCTTCTTAATAGTCTAATGAACGAGGAAATATGCCAGAATAATTTAAATACTACTACTGTCATTACAAAAAAATATACAACAAAGTTACCAGGGAAGCAAACAAATTAATAACATGTGAATAAGAGCATCAGGGAATAAATCAAAAGCCATGTGGGGCATAGTTAAGGAGGAACTTGGTAAACAGAAAAAAGCAGCGAAGAATATTGAAATAAGCGAGACTCGAGTAAATATACAGGGTCCAAAAACTATAGCCAATGTCTTTAATGAATATTGTACTAGTATTGCCCAAAAGATATTGAGTAGCAATCCATTATCAAAAAGCAATGAAGTTAATAAAGGGTTTATGAAGATTGCTATTGAAAGATGATAGGGTGTCAAAGGGAACGAACAGCATATTTTAGCGCATTATGAAATACCAGTGTATAAGTTCGATTAGGGTGAAAGAATGCGGCAAAGAAAATTCTCTTCTCAATTGAGGTTACATTACAATCCAAATGTGGTTATATTTCTTACACACGGCAGACAGGGTTGGTTGGAACTTGTGCCCACCAATCGGAAAAGCAACATGGTCATACACCTGAACCCACTGGCACATTATGAGGGAACTACTCGGGACAGACGGCTTTGGGATTAAACATGGTGAAAATCGAGCCATGGGAAGGTGAGCCCAAGCACAGCCATCGGGATAGAAATGACCGTACGCCAAGTCATGTGGACAGTAGAAGAGCTATGGTTTCTATGTGGTCTATGCCAAGGTGTTTGGTGATCTGCAAAACTGTGGTTATGAGTTCAAATTATCAATAAATCAAGTCACCAATCTAAACCCCATCCATAGTCACTCATACACATGACAATATTCTTACCCACGTTTTATTTTCCCAATTATCACTATTTAAAAATTTTAATCTGACACATCACTGAAACACCTTCAAGTGAAGTAGGTGACTTGAGTGGCCAAGGGACAGATGTTTAAAAAAGAACGAATCTTATAAATTCCTTTTTATTTCAGTCTTTAAGAGATAAAATTAACACAACATTATCAAAGGACAAAACGTGATAACAGTGAGTATTCAACAATGTGTTCCAACAGGAAAATGTGATTTTAAGGTATAATGGAAAACACCTGTAACAATAACTGTCATTTTGACTTGAGAAAATCAAAGTTACAGACTTTGAAATACTTACAAAATATTTTAAAATCTTTGTATCACATTACAAAAATGTCCTTTATTGTTTCAACATTTATCTTCCAGGTAAGTCAAATGCATCTTGCATATTTGTTCACCATAAACTTGTTGTGTACATCCACATATTTTTAATAAGATCTAAAAGTTTGTAATGTGATACAATTATTGTGTTTCTGGACTTGGGGACTAGCTCTATCGAGTAGGTTCCACCTGGACAAAGACACAATTCAGTCTCCAGATTGTTGTTTTAAATAAAGACTGGACATTGGATGTCCAGACACCACAATAACTGCACATATTTTGAAATTACAAAAATAAGTCCAAATGGCAAACACCAAATACTGATGTGATCACAAATATCGCAATTTTTATTCTTAATCACTCTCCATCATAAATATTACCATACTTTTATATCATTTATAAAGAAGCACAAACTTTTAATTATGTTCACAAGTGCCCAAGATAATTACTATAGATTACACTTGAAAACTGTGTCACATATAAAGTTTAATGCTGTTTGCCTTATATGCTTAAAACAAATGTTTGAAAGTTCAACCCAACTACACCACCACAAAGTTAATACCACCATTAACACAACATGTCACACAATCAGACTACTAAAGAGTAAAATATGTCCTTTCAAATGCTGACATCTCTTCCATACTAGCTGGCTCCATCTCCAAGATGTGAACAGGATTCTATGTTTCAGCATCAACTCTTTAACACCAACAACCTGGGCATCAACCAAGACTTTGTACTCATACCCTCCTTATGGATGAAAAACACTCAGTAACATGCCCTGACAAAGTACTAGCTACATTTTTCCAACCTGCAACTGAAACAAAGCAACAAACTAAATTCCAGCTCTGTAACACAAATCATGCCCCAATATTTTTTAAGAAGATAATTCAGATAGGGGGTGAAAGATCTGATAACATCACTCCATATCAACTGAACTATAATAGTATACCTTCATTAATAATTGGTGAGCAATAAACAGAAATAAGGAATCATATGCTTACTTCATTGTTCACTGCCACAGGAACTAGCATCCTTACAGTTATCTTGACCTTAAAATTACCGGAAGCACAAACTTCAGACCAAGAACCGTGAATCAAATGAGGCTGTGTAGTCATGCCCTCATTGTAATAATGAATTAATGGTGCTGAACAAGCACGATCAGATTTCTGCAATGGAAACAAATCAACAATGTAAAGATCATTCTCCATAACAGAACTCCCCATTTCCTGGGAATGGGGACAACAGCAGTGCAGATATAGAAAATAAATTTAAACTTGCTGTGGCTTTTGGCCTGCAAACTGCTAGTGCCCTTACAACTTTCTCATTCTGAAAATTACTGGAAAGTGAACTCTTACATGCTGTAAAAATGTCAATTAGGTGACAGGTTTATCATAGTTTACTTCAAATTAATTATGTCCACATTTCATTAGGTGTTACATCTTGCCTTTAACAGCTTACAGTTTTAAGATAAAACTGGTATCATTACACTACCACCAGGGGAATGACAGTTGAAAATTTGACAATTCTAATTTAAAGTGTGGTTTCCACAGAAAACCTTTCCACTGATCCACTCTTGTACATTACAAGCCTTGTGGGACTCTCAAATTACAATTTTACTGAATACACAAGCTATTAATTTTGAGTTCTGGAAAGAATGTTTGACAGAACAACCATAATAATGAGGGTACTGAAGTATCTTTCTTCAGCGAAGTCCAACACTAAAATTGACAGTCATTTATTGTTGGATCTTCTGGGCTTAAATTTATACACTGTTAGTTTTGCATTTAGTTTCCATGGAAATGACTTATACTGCCCTGCTTAGACTAATATATGTAGATTACCTACGTGAAAATGCAGTGCACCACAAACACTTCTTTGTTGTTCATAGCTTGTGCCACAACTTCTCACTGATCCTGGAAAAAGCATTTACAAAGTCAGTATGAGGAATTCTAATATACTAACACTTTAACCCCAAACTGATATGGATGCCATCAGATAGGAGCGAAAGACATAGTTAGATATCACAGTTAATCATGTGAACTATAATGTCATCATTACATCCACTTTAAAACACTTTCTACCATGCAATTTCATGAACCTTGTGATGCTTTTCAACGCATCTTGTGGCTGTGATACACTGAAGTTTCCATTTGATCTGAGTTTATACTGTTACACAACAGCCCATTGCAATCAATGAGAAATTATAAATATTAAAAACCATTATACTAAAGTCCTGAGATAGCCATTCATGGGTGGTCACATAACAAAGCTACTGTTTATCATCCATGGGATAAGAATGTTCCATAAAAGAAGGTCCAAATGAACATATACATAATGGGAAACTCATGTTCAAATAACAAAATTCCATCTTGAAGTAAATACAGAGTGGGGCGCAGAAACTTCCTTTTTTTGAAAGCGAATAAAAGAAAAATTATTGCTGACAGACAAAATTTATGTTTAGCTAATGAAAGAACATACTTTAAAGTTTTAGATAGGTTTAAACAAAATATCTTGAAGGTGGTGGCCACCGTTCTCTATGCACTGATGCAACCGTTTTCTCAAGTTCCCCTCTGCACGTTCCAACATGTGCACTGGAATTTGGGCTACTTCCTGCCGAATAACATTCTTCAGCTGAAGCAGGTTTGTGGGGCGATGTTTAAAAACCTCTGCCTTGAGGTATCCCCATAAAAAAAATCACAGGGCATTAGATCAGGTGAGTGCGCTGCCCACGGGATGTCACCTCGAAGTGAGATGAGCCGTCCGGGGAACTTTGCCCTCAAAACTGTCATCGAAGTTTTGGCCGTGGCACCATCCTGTTGGAACCAGATATTTCCTAGATGCATTTCTTCAAGAGCTGGTTCAAATAGTTTTTAATCATGTCCACATACTTCTGTGAATTGACAGTAACTGCATTATTGTCTTCTTAAAAAAACAAGGGCCAATAAATCCAACTCTCGACAACGCACACCATACTGTCACAGCAAACGCATGCTGCTCACTCGTCCACCTCATGTTTCCTACTGAGGGGTATTAGACAGAAACTTCCACGACTGCTGCGTTCGCCAAGCCTATCCCCACTATTCTGCGGCCTCCCCTCCATTCACAATGCGTCTTCACAAAAAACAAGTTTCTGTGCCCCACCCTGTATTTCAAGAATGTACCTATCACATTCATCAAAAACAGGATGCATATGGAAATTAGAACCATGTCCACCATCATATTCAAGATATTAAGTCATGGGTTTCTAGTAAAATACGACAGACAGACATTAATGAAAACACTTCATCTTGTAGTTTAGAAACTAAGTGGTTCACCCAGACTACAATGAAGCCATGATTACAGTAAGGCAGATGGTTTATACAGTTATTAAAGAGATTTCTCAACTTTCTCAACTCACACCTGCTTATGCTACTTTCTGTAGTAGCCACAACAGCAAGGTCAAGAGTCTAGATAACTCAAAGATACATTTGCTTATCAGCAGAGTGGCACTGTTATGTGAAACTACATGGGAATAGCAGTTCGGTATTTGTCAATAACTGCATATTTGATGTGTGGGATGCTGTCAACAAGTAGCACTGCAGATCCCATGATTAAATAGAGATTATGCAGTATAGCATATCCATCACAAATAAGTTAAACCCTGCAATCACAATGAAGTACAGAAAATCTATGCAGACTAGAAGAATGCCTTTCGAAAGATCTGACTTGATGTAATACTTACACTTTATGACCAATGTCACATGCTTGCCATAATAGCATACTAGAACATGTGAATAACATATTTCAAGACACGAATACTCTTCCAAAGGATTAATCAGATGAAAGCCTTGCAAAGTGGTGCACCATGCATTGTCATTTGTTCAACTCATCAAATATGCCAGCAGTTTCATGTTCTTGTGAAACGTTAGTTGGTAATGATGATCATCTATGCCTAGAAGTCGTAGTGATGAAACTGATGCCATCTCTACAGCACCTAAAATATAACCTGTAAGGAGAATACACATGATTGCATCTCTGTCGAAGACCACTAAAGACAAACATCAATGATTCTGTAAAACAGGGCAGCAGGCATAACAGAAAAAGAAGGGGAAATAAAAAGTAATTCTAGAAAAGGGGAGTCAGTAGCAAGAAACGTGCCACAAAGTACCTGATGCGCTGTGTTAGCGTAAGCCTGTCATATCTATTATGCATAAAGTGCACTTCCAAATAAAAATAAACACATCAACATTTTAAAAAAGCAATGTCCGTCTTTCAGTGCACTCAATTTTACTTATGTCATTGTAAAATTTAAAAAGTATTTAAATTTTACAATACATAATGGCAAGCAATGAAATAGATTGACGTAAATAGACCACCTGATGATGGCACTGTAGTGCCGAAACATGTTGTGAAGTAACAAGTGAAATTGAGTGCACTGAAAGACTGACATTGCTTACACATCATGGACGAAGATCAGTGCACCAGGACGCTAAAATATAACATTTAAAAAAAAACTGACCAGTTTCTTTTTATGAACATTATGTAATCATACGCAATCATTTCAAGGAAAAATGCACACTCAGATAGAGCTAATATTTTATCATGTAATCAATGTGCAACGTATCATCACTGTATGCATATTATGAATTTCATTCCAACTCAGACTGCACCACAGAGAATTAAATGTAATTACAAAATTAATTATTGTGGTCCCTCAGTAATTAGTGAATGATGTCCTTTGCAAACTATATGTGCAGGCAAATGTCAGCAATGTAGTGACGTTTATCCAGACAAATGTTCAGATATCAACAATTTTTTTGGCAGCAATAGGGAAAATATTTAAATTTCTCTTGCATGGTAGAGGCAACAGAAATTCTGATTATTAGACACTGTAATATACAGCACCCATTTGATCAAATCTCAAAAAATCTGGGTAAACACACAGCTGCTAACCTCCACTACAATCCAAAAAATAAAATAAAATAAAAATAGCCAGTTATTTATGTTGGGCAATGACTGCTATGTGCACAAAAGACCATCCTGTTATATTATGCTGACTGAAGTACTTGTTTCCAACATTAATACCATCATCATCATCAGTAATCTGTCAAGACGACAGGTCCACAGTCTCTTTCAAAACAATTCCTCCACCTAATGCGATCTAGAGCTTTCTCCTTCAAATGACAGTATCCTCTTCTGTCCCCAAGGTCATCCAGCATCTTCTTACGTCTTCTTGTCACTTCTCTCCGCCCATCTATCTTTCCTTCGATAGCTTCTTTTAGAAGGCAGTTTCTGCGTAAAACATGACCAATCCAATTAGCCTTCCGTTTTCTTATTTCATGTAGGATATTCCTCTGCTCACTGACTCTAATTAACACTTCTTCATTTCTCACATAATCGGTCCAACTGATCTTCTCCATTCTTCTCCAACACCACATTTCGAAACTTTCCAGATGTTTCTGATCTACTGCCCTAAGTGTCCATGTTTCAGCCCCATACAGAGCTATGCTCCAAATGTAGCATTTCACTAGTTTCTTCCTCAAATTTAAGTCCAATTTGCTGGTAAAAAGATTCTTCTTCTTGCTAAATGCAGCTTTTGCCATGGCAATCCTGGATTTAATTTCACAAGTACACCTTCCATCATCTGTTAACAAGCTACCCAAATATTTAAAACATTTCACATTCTCCACTTGTTTTTGGTCTATCTTTATTGTGACTGGGGTTGGTTGTCTCGAAATTTTCATTACTTTTGTTTTCTCCACATTCATTTCCATGCCATAGCACCTTCCAATTTCAATTAGTCTATCAATCATGCCCTGTAGCACAGTTTCTTCCTTAGCCATTAACACAAGGTCATCTGCATATTTCACAGTTTGAATAATTTGCCCTCCTACTTTGAAGTCACCGAGCCCATCCAGAGCTTCCTTGGTAAGGCATTCGCTGTACAAGTTGAACAGAATTGGTGATAAACAGCATCCTTGTCGAACTCCTCTTCCAATCTGCACACTTCCTGTCTCCCCCCTGTCCAGTCGTACTCTAACTTTCTGATCCATGTACAATTTGCTAATCAATCTTCTTTCATGCCAATCGATACCTGTTTCTTTCAGGATCTGCATTAATTTGGTCCAGTTTACCCGGTCAAATGCCTTCTGCCAGTCTATGAAGCAAACACACAGTTCTTCATCTATCTCCAAAGTTCGTTCCGCTATAATTCTCATCATCCCAATTGCATCCCTGGTTCCTTTTCCTCTTCTAAATCCAAACTGATCTTCTCCAAGTACATCCTCTATTTTCCTTTCAATTCTTCTTTTAAGTATCTTTGCTATTATCTTTGCTGTATGTGCAATAAGACTTATTGTGCGATGGTCGCTGCATTTTGTAGCTTTTGTCTTTTTCTTTAAGGCAATCATTGTAACTTCTGTAAAGTCCTTGGGCCACTCTCCACTTTCATATATGGTGTTCATTAGTTTTGTCAGTGTTTTCAAACCACCTTCTCCCAGTAACTTGAGCACATCTCCAGGTACATCATCATCTCCTGTAGCCTTTCCCTTCCTCATTTCCTTGATAGCTTTTTCCACCTCACTTTGTAAAATATATGGTCCTTTCTCGTCTGTATCTACTTCTTCTTCCGGTTCAACTTCTAAGGTTTCTGGCCGATTAGGTCGATCATATAGTTCTGAAATATAATTTTCCCAAATTTTCAGCACTTGCCTCTGATCTACTATTCTATTCCCCTGAGAGTCTTCGATGCCAACATTTTGAATCCCATGATTCTCTTTCCATCCTAGTTCTTTTGTCTTCATGTACATCAAATCATAACGGCCTGTTCTTAACATTAATACAGTACAGTACACAAAAATTCCTCATATAATTACATGCCTTGGCACATAAGTGTTGGTAACCTCCAGTACAAAACCAAACAAAAAGACAGTAGTTACATGTGGCAGACAATGACTTCTAAGTGCACAAGAACGTCCACAGGGCAATTCTTTCATTCTTCAAATCTCAGTAGCTTATTTGTGCCTAACATCCACATAACATGCCTTAACCTTTAAACGACTAAAGACCCCGTATGGGGTCGCACAAGTTTAGTCAGCGGTACGAATGCCCCCATATGGGGTTGCACAGTCCGCGCGTGCGGACGATATTTGAAATACATTTTTAAGGTAGAAAATAATGTCCTACTTATATAATTTTGGCCACCATCTGCATGGAGTGTCTGTCTTCCCACCTGCGTCATCTGCAGGAATGTTGCCTTCGTGTGGAATTCTAAAAAAAGTCCGGAAATGCAGAGTCCGATTTCGCACTTCACGCACTTTGTCCGGACGGTCTTTCGTTTCCCACGCAAAAAGCTCACACGACGCCTCAATTGCGAAGTAGAGGAAGTTGGCCAGTGATGTGGTTTGGCCTTCTATAATCGAGATATCTCCGATAAAACGGCAGGGGTTCGACTCCTGGTCGCACAGTCCGCGCGTGCTATCTTTACCTGAAATAAAAGTTTAACGTAAAAAATAATTTTGTACTTACGTAATTTGTGGCCACCATCTGCATGAAGCGTCTGTCTTCCCACCTGCCTCATCTACCGGAATGTGGCCTTCGTGTGGTATTCTTGGAAACATCCGGAAATGCACAGTCCGATGTCGCACCTGACGCACTTTGTCCGGACGGTTCTTCGTATCCCACGCGAAGAACACTCACGACATCTCAACTTCGAAGTAGAGGAAGTCGGCCAATGTTGTATTGTGACCTCCCCTATTCGAGATGGCTCCGATCTAACAGCCGGGGGTCGACCCCTGGGCCGTTGAGGGCGAGGTGGACCCCTTCCAGCGAGCTCCAGCATGTTCCGCACAAGGGCGAGACGAAAATCTCTGTGTGACAATTTCGCGCCACAGGATGACAACAGGATATAACTGTTCAGAATCGTCAGATCCAGGAGATGGAAAAATAGTTTATTTGTCCATTTCCAGGTCCGACGACAGATGCCATAACTGTTTGCCATCCTGTCCGCCTTGTCCACATAACCCATGTGCTTGTTGTAGTCAGCAACAACAGCTGGTTTTGTGGCATTTCCATGCTCACCACAGAAATTGCCTTCTGCTGGAGGAGAGTGCATATTTGTCAGCATGTAAACGTCACGTTTGTCCTTCCAAACTAGAGCTGTCATGTTCTGTCTCACCCTAACACGAATGTCCCCTTTCCTAAGTCGAAACTGTCTTCGTCGAAAATCGTCAGGCAAGCCCTTCCGATTAGGTCTGACTGTCCCACAGCACGTTATCTTCTTTGTCATCAGTTCGTCAAACAAGTCGGGCGAAGAAAAGAAATTGTCCATGTACAGTTTGTGACCTACGCCCTCAATACGCCTGCACAGGTCCCTAACTGTAGCATGTGTCGCTGTCACGTCTCGGTCGGCACGTGTCCTGTCTTTTCCTAGGTAAACTTTCATGTCATACGTATACCCAGCGGCGTCACAAATTTTGAAAATTTTGATTCCGAAACGTTTGTGTTTCTTCGGAATGTACTGCTTAAAAATCACCCTTCCCTTGAATTTAACTATTATTTCGTCAACTGCCAAATGTTCGGAAGGGTTATAATATTTTTCAAATGCGTCATTGAGAGTGTCGAAGATGGTCCGAATTTTCCATAGTCGGTCATAACTGTCGTCATTCCTGTCAATTTCTGTCCTGTTGTCTGCAAAATGTAGAAAACGAAGAATGTGAAGAAATCGGTCGCGTTTCATTGTCTTAGAGTAGAAAGGCGTGGCAAATTGTTCAGCAGTCGACCAGTAGTCCGTTAGTCTGTCTCTAATGTCATGTCCCATCTGAATGATTATTCCTAGAAACAGAAACATCTCGGATTCAGTCACGTCAGGCCGCGGAGAAGGTCCGTCTTGACGTCTGTCTACGTGCTGGTGGTAGTATCTGTTCGTCTCTTCCACCAGCAGATGGATAATCTCTGCGAAATACAGCATGAAAACGCTGAAAGGCGTGGAATCCTTATTTACATGTGGAGCTTCATGGGTTTTTAACCCCACAGCTCCACCCGAATAAGTATTCACACTCCTCGTGCCACGCTGGTGTGGTGGTCCCCAGGTTGCCGACGAAGATGATTGGTCTTCATCGATATCACTTTCTGATTCGCTACCTTCAACGTCACTCTCAGAATTGTCAGTACAACAATCTGAATCGGAGTCACTGATGAGCTGAAATATGTCTGAATCTTCCAGATGAGATGAAGCCATGGTAAAATCACACTATCACGTAGCTAGACAGAACGCTTCCAGTCACAAACTCAGGACTCAGTGTGATGAAACTGTATAAAGAAGTGTAATCTTAGTGTGCAACCCAGCTCGATAAAGCAACACCGAGTTCATTTCATTCCCCCACTCTCCTCATTCTAATAGAACTACGTCATGTTACGATCAAACATTCAAAGTACTTCGAATGAACCCTTACAGCCACGGACCTATTCCGCTGTGTCTTGAAACTGTAACACATGCATAAAGAATGCTAGAGTTGAACAGTATAACAGTAAACACATTGTGTAGCAAATACACTGATAAACAACACTGAGTTTATTTCACTCGTCCACTATCCACATTCCGAAAGACGTACGTCATTTATACTACGATAAACTCCATAGACAAAACAACTGCGGTGTTGCAAAGTGTCGTCACCCACCAGCTTGCATTCAAACGTACCGAGAACGTATGAATTCTTGTACAGAAACAAAAAAATTGGGAAATTTCTTCTTTGGAGTCAGTGCAAAAATTTTAACATGTTTTATACAATCTGTAAATTACAATATGATTCTATATTCTTTCGAGAAAAAATAGCGTTTATTTTGTTCGTTTATCACAGAAATTGCAGAAATAGGAGCAAATTTAGTAAATGATTGCAGTTTTCATGGATTTATAATCACGGGTATTTAAATTAATTCCGTACGGCTGCCCTTACCGGAATTTAAATGCCCGTAGGATAAAGGTTAAATTCTCCTCTACATTGCAAGTTAGGTCTGGTAAATGGTGGCATCATAATGCTTCCTCAACATGGGGTCATTACACTGCATAATGTATGTTATGTTATGTTATGCCAGAACTAGTTTACCTTTCATTTAAGTTTTTCTTCTAAGTTTCATTATGTTACTTCAAGTTCATAGAGGTTTTTGAAATTGTCCTTGAACAAATATTCTTGGAACATCCAAATCTTCCTTTTTATTGATAGTCCTACGGTGAATATATACATTACTTCTGATTTCAAATCCTGCTTCTTCAAATATATTTCCTATAAGTTCACTGGAGAAATAATAACTTCTGAAACAAAGAACAATTTTTAGTGTCACAAGATAAAATCAAAAGGCACAGAAGCATTATTTCTGAAGGAGGCTCCCCACATGCCCATTTACAAAGTCTCTAGACAGCTGTACATCCAAATGAAAAGCCTTTCCTCAATAAACACTGAAGCAAAGGTTTCTAGTTCCATCAATCAGTGTAAGTTCAAGGACATCACACTGTGGGATGATATTTACATCACAGACAGAGTAATTTGAAACTGACCCAAATGAATTAAGAACTGCAGTGCAAGATTTCCATCACAAAATCTGCAAAATAAAATATTTTCACACACTAACACAAGTGCACATATTCATGTGTTTAAGATTCCACATATTTGGTCTGCTGAAATGTACTGTGATCAACTGTTTACAACAATGAAATCTAAGCCACAAATGTTGGGCAATATTCTCTAACTGCATGCAGTTCATTTTGTTGACTGTTCACACCTCATCTTCTTATTATTAAAGGAACATCTTTTCAGTCTCCTTTACGAAATATTAAGTTCAGGATGAAGAGTCACCAGAAATTGTGTACAGATTATTGGAATTTCAGATTTTGCTTAACCTAAAATATCGTTAAGATTTCATACATAACTAATTCGGATAATTCTTGTTTTATGTCGACACAGAAAGCAGTGAATACTGTCAACCAAGGGTGCCTTTACCTTAAACTATATTACAACATACTAACCTTGTACCATCTTGCCTCATGTAGAAATTTTCAGATATTTTGTGCCCTGCCTTAAAACGTAACTGGGCCATATCATACAACCCATAGTCACGAAAAAGAACGACACCTCCGGGTTTCAATACCTTAAACACATTCCGTAACGTCTGATGAAACTTGTTTGGATGTATGGCAGATAGAACAAATATCAATGTTGCAATGTCTACGGATTCAAATGCAATTTCTTTCGATATTTCATCAGTTGTGATGTCACACTGAAAGGCTTTAATTACATTTTCATTGTAGGATGGATGTAATTTCACAAATTCAACTGCTCTTGGTGAGAGATCACAAGCATAAACAAACATTTGGGGATCATCTTCTATAAGAGGAAAAATGAGATTTCCAACACCACACCCAATCTCGAACATCACTTTTGGCTTATATGAATTTTCACCACTACATAATTCTTTAAATTCTCTTGTAGTCCAACGCCGATCCTTAAAGAATCTAGTTTCATTTCTTTTATAGAAAAGATCCCAGTATCGCTTCGCATTGAGCTCTAATTTTGCAGCTTGGTGTTCTGAAACCAACCTTTCATTCTGTAGTTGTAATTTAACACACTCTTCTGACGACAATTCTCTGGCTTCAGTGGAATACAGTACATTCTGATCACATTTTGCAACATAATCTTCACACGCGATAGCCATTCCTTTCGAATACTATTTATAAAACTTAAATACGAACTTCATAGAATAGTTTAATAAAATACAGCAGTCACAACGTGCGGTACAATGAGATGCTATATCCTTTACAATAAACCTCTTTCATTACTGGGTGCAAGGAAGATCCCTAGATATTGTGCCCCACATATTCTCCACGTGAACACATGTACGAGACCTGACCGGAAATGACGGTTGCAAACGCGAGAGAGAGTATACTGTGTAACACAGAGACAACAATATAATCCATATAATTATCCGTGACATGGCTAGTTTTCTCTTGGGGGGGGGGGACGATCAGTTTTCTTCTTATTTGATTTTCATTTTCGCAATTACTCTACCAAATCCTTTTTTACACAAAATAAACAGGCGAAATAGATATTGTAGGTAAAAGCTGAACAACTAAATGAATCTCATACCGCTTAATTTCTATCGACAGATTAATTAAATTACAATTTGTTATTGGATATATGGGAGTGAATTAAGCTGTTAATGAATTCCGGATTTTATATACTGATTTCTGACACCATGATTCCTATATAACATGGAGAATGACCTTAATTCCGCCAAACGCAAGTAGTTAGCAGTCACGGATTACCACCTACCAGTGCTAGTACAGTGAACTTTTCAATGATCGATCTTACGCATCTACTTTTCAATCCACTGCCAACTTACCAGTAAGTTCAAGAAGTTTCTTTGACGTCAAACGTGGGCCAATAGAATCTAGCCAACTCTAACAGTTCCACCCAATCAGGATTTAATTCGTGCAACTGTGTATTTCAGCTTGACCAATGACATTGAGACACGACGTTGGATGGCCTAGTATTTGGATGGGTGCACAGCGTTTGTGCAGTTATACGAGTCGGTGAATTAAAGTAGAGTACGAAGGTTTTGTGTTGAATTCGACACCATTTGTTTGAAGTGTCACATACACGAAAGCAGATAATAATTTGCGGTAAGTAAATCTAACCGATCAAAGTATTAATGTTGCCTTAAACTGTTTTCGAAAAAATTGTATGCCGGCAAGCGTGGCCACCGTTTGTCGGTTCCATTACAGCATATGATTACAGTTCTTCAACATTTTCAGGTGAAGCAACCAACATGCGGTTAAGTGTATTATTTGGAGTAATTTGTTTGCTGGCTGTTGGTTTATGTGCGAAGGATGAAAAGAATAAAGATGTTGGAACTGTAATAGGAATTGATCTGGGAACAACATATTCGTGGTAAGTAGTTCAGTTGTGCTTGCGGAACATCTGACAGGTAGCAGAATCACTAGTTCAACACTGCGGATACCAACACGACCCTGATTGAGACCTTTTCAATTTCCCAAACTATGGACCATGTAATAATTATGGGTGGTGCTAATGATATTGCTAGTAACGAAAGAAAGACTTGTATCAATGTTGTAAACAGAACACTTTCTGCACTAACTTGTACAAATGTTGTTGTTATTAATATACCGATTAGGTATGATTTAATAAAAGATTCAGTAGTAAATATGGAAATAAGAAAAGCAAATGCTGACATAAACAAGGTGTGTAAAAGATTTAGAAATGTTAAAAGTATTGGATATAAGTAATATAAGCAGAACCTATCACACAAGGCATGGGCAGCATTTAAACAGACTAGGTAAAGAATATATTACTCAAGAAATAAGTAAAATAATAAGTGATAATAAAAAGAACCAACAAAATGTAATAGTTTTAGATGATCTAAACCAGGGAAACTTACAATGATGACTGGATCCCTTGGGTTCCAGTCATTTCCAGTTGGGGTAGTCAAGCCAAAATATAATTTGAAAATAATACATCAAAATGCTCAATATCTTGGTAATAAAATTGAAATATTTACTGAATTCCTTCAAAGTACTGCCCCTGATATATTAGCTATTTCTGAACATGGTCTTAAAGAGGATGAAATCCATCAATGTATATTAGAAGGTTATGCTCTAGTCTCATATTTCTGTAGGAATGAATATAAAGGTGGAGGGATAGCTATTTACAGTACCGGTAATATGGTGCAATGTGAACATTTGAATTGGGTTACTGGCAAAAGCATTGAAAAAACTCTTGAGGTTACTGGTATGGAAATAATGTGTGATAAGATTAAACTTATAATTTTAGCATTATATAGATCACCTAGTGGTGTAATGAATGAATTCTTTAACTTATTAATAGATATATTGCAGCAGCTTGTTCAGAAAGATCGTTATATCATTCTTGTTGGAGATTTAAATATAAATACTATGGAAAATGGATGTGGTCATAAGCAATTATTAGATATCATTAATGCTTATAACATGATTATGACAATAAATATCCCTACTCGAGTAACTGAGAGCACAGCAACGATTATAGATCAGATCATTACTAATATACCTGTTAACTGCTATTATACTAATGTTATAAATAGCTTACTTTCTGATCACTATGCTCAATGTATAACTATTAATATTACCCCACCAGTACTAAAAAGGTGTTATAAAGTTGGTAGAGATTTATCTGATGACAATATAACCTGCTTTTGTTCTTATATACAAACTGAAACTTGGATGGAGGTATTTAATGATAATGATATTGAGGTCAAGTGGAACTCTTTCTATGGCATCTTTAACTATTATTTTAATATAGCCTGTCCAAAGGTAAGACGAAACTTTGCAAGTGTAAATAAGGCTACCTGGATAAATAAGGATGTTGTCATAGCCAGAACAAAATTAAGAAATTTGTATGATCTTTATATACAATGCAAATCTCAAGAATATAAAAATGTTTATAAAGCATATAAAAAAGTATATAATACAATCATTAAAACTGCAAAAGCAAATCATATTCAGAATATAATAAATAGATCAATAAACATTCCAAAAGCACTGTGGAAATTTGTAAATCGTGAAAGAGATTCTTTAAATAATAAACTCACTGGAAATATAAACTTATTTGATGGAAAACAAAAGGTTTCATGTCCAAACAGAACTTGTAATATATTTAATAAAACCTTTGTAGAAACTGTTAACAATCTAATACTTGATAAAAACTTAATCCACCCACAAACCATTAATAATATTGATAGCTTAAAAGACTCATTTGTTTTGCTTGAAATAACAGAGGCCGATTTGATTAAAATAATCCACAGTATGGCGAATAAAAAGTCTGCTGGACTTGATGATATCTCTCCTTATTTGTTAAAATTATGTATACCTTATACTGCTAAACCGCTCTTAGAATTGGTTAACGCATCAATTAGAGATGGTATATTTCCATCTATATTAAAAAAATCGGTCGTTTCCCCTATTTATAAAGGGGGGACTAAGGAAGATGCAAGTAATTATCGACCTATTACACTTGTTCCTACTTTCTCTAAGGTCTTAGAAAAAGTAATAGTTAATCAACTAATAGCCTTCTTAGATAAACATAATATTTTAAATAAATTTCAGTTTGGTTTTAGAAAGAAACATTCTACTAATGATGCTATTGCCACAGTTATTGAAAATATAATAGATAACTTGAATGATAAAATAAATTGTAATTGTATCTCTTTAGATCTGTCAAAAGCATTTGGTTATATTCAGCACAACATTCTTATGGATAAATTATATAAATATGGCGTCCGCGGTATTCCACATATGTTAATTAAATCTTATCTTACAAATAGAACACAACAGGTGAAAGTTTTACATAGGGAAACCAATGAAATAAAGGAATATCTATCGAGTAGCCTGCCAGTTAAATTTGGAGTCCCTCAGGGATCAGTTCTTGGTCCTTTGCTTTTTATTTTATATATAAATGACTTTCCTCACCTAACACAAGGTAGATCTATAATGTATGCTGATGATACTTCAATCTTGAGTATGGGACAGAATATAAATGAACTCCAATATATAACTTCAACTAATATTGGAGTTGTGGAAAAATACTTTGAGATGAATGATTTATTCATAAATCCAACTAAAACGCACTGCATTTTTTTTCAAACAAAGCAATGTAGGCAGGACTATAAATATAAAATTTTAGTTAAGAATATGGAAATAGAAAATGTGAATAGTATAAACTTTCTGGGTGTGGAAATAGACAGCACCTTGAGTTGGGATGTTTATATTGATAGAACCTGCAGTCGAATTAGTCGTAACTTGTTTTTATTAAATAGACTTGCTAAATTATTAGACCTAAAGGGCAGAAGAATGTTGTATTATGGCTTGATCTTCCCCTTTTTATCATATGGAATTGTAGTATGGGGAAACAGTGCTAAGGCACTTACTAAAAGAATTTTTATTCTTCAAAAAAGAGCCGTACGGTACACTGCTGGGCTAAAACCCTTAGAATCTTGTAGAGACAGTTTTGTACAACTAAAGATTTTAACATTATATTCAATGTACATATTTCAAACCATTTTATATGCAACTAATAAGTGTAACTGTACGGTAAATAAACAAGTACACACTCACAATACTAGAAACAAAAATGACTACCATAAATGGGTGCATAACTTAGAACTTTATAACAGCAAACCTTCTGTTGCTGGCTGTATCTTTTATAATAAATTACCCAATAGTATTAAACAGCTTGACAATAAAAACCAGTTTATAAGGGAACTTAAGAATTTGCTCATAAATAGATGCTACTACTCAATTGATGACTATATGAATGATAAATTCTGTAATGCTGGATAGTTATATATGCTGCATGTGATATTGCATTACATATTTTGTGAATTTGTTGGTTTATAATTTGTTGTAATTTTGTTGGTTTTATAACTCGTTTCATGAGATATGTCCTACTTTAATGTAGTCTGATCTGTGGTATGGGTAAATATGAATTAATTAATGTATAGATAATTCTGAATTATTGGAATTGTTACATGTTTGATGTAAATACTCATTGCATATTTGCGAGTTTATTGGTTTTGATCTTATTGTATCTTGCTAATTTTATAATTTATTTGAGTGAATGAATGTTTGGATAAATTTTGTTATGCTGCATATTGATATATGCTAGATATGATAGTCATTACATATTTTGTGATTTTATTTGTTATGAATTCTCGCACCTTGCTAATTTTATAATTTATTACTTGTGTCATGTTCTACACCTGTGTGGTCCGATCTATGGATAGTGAATGTTGAATGTATGAATGTATGGATGGACTGTGATATATTAGATTGTGATACATGCTAGATGTAAGTAGTCATTACATATCTTGAGTGTTTACTGGTTTAGAATCTACTGTATTTTGATAATTTTATAATTTATATTATGTGACATGTCCTATATCAATGTAATCTGATCTACAGGATGAATAAACATGAATGAATGAATAAATGAAAAAGTACACTGTTATTAAAGAAC